GCTGCTCGCCTTGTTGCTGGGTCTGAGTCTGCGTCTGTCTGTCCTCCGTCCGTCGGGGGTGAGTGTGCTCTTGGCACGGACGTCCTTGAGGACAGGCAGGAGGACTTTGACTGTCTTGCGGCTGCTGTACCTCATCTCGTGGCCTGGTTGCTTGCCCCTGAGGGAGACCCGGATGCACTAGACATCCCCACTCCGCGCACTTACGCAGAGGCGATCTCGGGTCCCTACTCCTCTCAGTGGCAGACAGCCATGGACGCAGAGATGGCATCCTGGAAGTCCACAGGCACCTACGTCGACGAGGTTCCCCCTCCTGGGGCGAACATCGTCGATGGCATGTGAATTTTCAGGGTGAAGCGGCCGCCAGGTTCTCCGCCTGTCTTCAAGGCTCGTTACGTTGCTAGAGGCTTCAGTCAGCGTCAGGGGGTCGACTTCTTCCAGACCTTCTCCCCCACCCCGAAGATGACCACTCTTCGGGTTCTGCTGCACGTTGCTGCTCAGCGTGACTACGAGCTTCACTCTCTTGACTTCAGCACAGCGTTCCTGCAGGGCAGCCTGCACGAGGAGATCTGGCTGCGCCGCCCACCTGGCTTTACTGGGTCGTTTCCCCCTGGTACCCAGTGGAGTCTCCGCCGGCCAGTCTACGGTCTCCGCCAGGCGCCACGTGAGTGGCACGACACACTGAGGACTACACTTGCGGCTCTTGGGTTCGCACCGTCTACTGCTGACCCGTCGCTGTTTCTGCGCACAGACACGTCGCTGCCGCCGTTCTACATTCTCGTGTACGTCGACGACTTGGTCTTTGCTACTGCTGACACTGAGGCACTCGCTCGTGTGAAGTCGGAGCTGCAGAAGAGACACACCTGCACTGACCTGGGTGAGCTGCGTAGCTACCTTGGCTTGCAGATCACCCGGGACAGAGCTCGCCGCACCATCACCCTGACTCAGTCACACATGGTGCAGCAGGTCCTTCAGCGCTTCGGCTTCCAGTTCTCCTCACCACAGGCCACACCTCTGGCTACCAGCCACTCGCTCTCAGCTCCACCTCCGGACGAGTCCGTAGAGCCGAGTGGCCCGTACCCAGAGCTTGTGGGCTGCCTCATGTACCTGATGACTTGCACGCGACCTGACCTCGCGTACCCTCTTAGCATCCTTGCTCGTTACGTTGCGCCTGGGAGACACAGGCGAGAGCACTGGGAGGCTGCTAAGAGGGTGCTGCGCTACTTGTGCAGTACATCAGGCATGGGGCTGGTGCTTGGAGGACGCGACAGAGTTGTCCTCACTGGCCACTCGGACGCTTCTTGGGTGGACGACCTGGCTACGCAGCGGTCGTCACAGGGTTACACCTTCAGCCTTGGCTCTGGTTCTGTCTCGTGGCGGTCCACCCGCTCTTCTTCTGTTCTCGGCTCTAGTTGTGAGGCTGAGATCTACGCCACAGCCATGGCTGCCCAGGAGTTACGCTGGCTCACCTACCTGCTGACTGACTTGGGAGAGCGGCCTAGTTCTCCTCCAGTTCTGTACGGTGACAACAAGGCGGCCCTTGCCTTGTGTCAGGAGCACAGACTGGAGCACAGGACGAAGCACATTGCTCTTCGCTACTTTCTTGCTCGAGAGCTGCAGCAGCGAGGTCAGCTTCGGCTTGTGTACGTGGACTCGAAGGCCAACACTGCTGATATCTTCACCAAGGCGCTCCCGCCTAGTGATCATCAGCGGCACTGTACTTCCTTAGGCCTTGTGTCCACATTCCCTCATTTGCTTACTGCTTGACTTTCTTTGTACTGTCCTTTATATATATCTCGTTGCTTGCTTGCTAGGTCTTGATCACTGTGTTGCTTGTCTTGTACTATATCTAGCACTGCATGTGAACTGGCCTTGTGGCCTTTGCTTGTGCTCGGAGTGTGGTGACGTTGTGATCCACCCTGGGCTTGCTTTGCTTTGCTAGACTGGTCTTGTGACCCTTTGTTCTCCCCCACTTTGCCTATGGGGGTGTGTTAAACTGTGTTATGTTGGTAGGCTGTAGTGGGGTAGCCAGTATGGGGTACAACCCCAACTAGGGTTTGCTACTTGTACCCAATTCTTCCATTCAATGACACATTCTTGCTTAGTCCTGTTGACAACACGCTCTGCGGAGAACACTGCGGCTCCGGCGTCAGTCGCCGACCACCAGGTGAGACCGATTTTCAGGGCACTGGGTTTCAGACTAGAGACAGCGTAGCTTGGTCGTCGCTCTTGCCGATTTCACAGTCTCGTCGCCCAGTTTAGATCGCGGTTTAGGGAGGAACAATCCGTCATATCGGCTTTGATTAATCATATCGGCGTAGAGGCAGAAAGGGCCCAGACAGCGCGGACATGACCGGCGAACGGCCTGGTGCAACGCCGCCGGAAACCAACCCCCCTGAGGGCGACATCGCCGCGCAGTTGGCGCAAGCGTCGCTCGCCGCCCGGTTAGGGACAGCCACTAGGGTCACTAGGTCACTAGAAGCGGCCACAACACAACGACAGTACGCCACCACCGTTACACAGTACCGCCATTTTATGCCCGACCCGCCGACCAACTCCCCGCCTCGCCCTCAGTAGACCTCGGAGCGGTGATAGGACAGTCGGGCAGCATGTCGGATTTCGTTCCGCTGGCAGCCCAGGCGGCGGTGAACCTGACAGGTGATACCACTCCGCCGACCGGCGACTGCCCCGCCACCAATCCCGCACGGACGCTGCCATTGATTTACAATCTAGTCGTTCTAGCAAAAATCCCCGTCGACCCTGACATTCCGCCGCCACCAGTAGGGGACACCCAAAAGCAACGCCCTAGCCAGCCGAGGCAGCAGGAGGAGTCTTCATCTAGCGAAGACGAGGACGAACCCCAGCCCAGTCCAGGACCTAGACGCCAACGTCGGCCGCTCACTCGAGCCGAGAGGGATTGAAGAGAGATAGAGGAGGCGTTGGCCGAGGACGAGGCTGAGGACAGGCTGAACGCGAGCGTGCCGCGAGGAGAGTTTACATCGGCTGAGTTTGTCGTCGAGGATCTGAGGAACAGCGACATCGAAGTACTGATAGCAAATGCCCTTCGCCACATGGAGACGCTCGAGGAAGGGTCATCGCTGCGGCAGTACATTTTGTGGATACTTCACTACAAGAGGTGGGCGGTGGATTCGCTTTCGGAAGAAGGCGACGACCTGGAGCCGGGGTCAACACTCAAGGACAAGGACGAAATTGGAAAGCACATCGACGATGACTTGGGCCCAGATTGGCACACCGCCCTGCGCCAATTCGTCTGGTTGCACGGCCCGAGGACCAACGAGCCACGAATTTGCGCTTACGTCTTGTTCAGAGCGCGAGAGACCATCATCGAGGCGATGAGGAGCGAAGAGGGCAACACCGCCATGCGCACGCAGCCGATCAAACCCTGCCTGGTCAACATGCTACTCGGCCGCATCAAAGCCCTTCAGATGGCGGCCAAGATAGAGGCGACCCTATACCGAGAGAAGGAGCTGCACATCATGCAGGACATCTCGGTCGTCCGCACGGAAGTGCGTGTCATGGTTCGCGGAAAGAACAAAGCCGACAACAAGTAAGTTAATCGGCGCAGACTTTGCCTGTCCTCTCTCATTCACCCGCCAATGTATACCGATGCCGCTCACGCACAATCATAACCCTCGCGCGCTACACTTGTGCAGAAAATATGTCGACCGACATCGCCGAACCATCGGCAACACTTACACCACCGAGCAGTTCCGCAAAATCATGTTCAAGGTGTTGACGCACTGGTCGGCGACGGCGTGGAATCCACGTGGAACAGGTCCTTCCCAGACCCTGTGGAAGTTCATGCTGATGAGAACGATGACCCTGCTATTGCACCACACTCTACTCCGAGGTGCCAGCGTACGCGAGACGACTATCGCCCCGATGAAGCAGATAAAGGTTGAGAAGGAGCTCGAGGAGGCACGTGCAACTGTTGTGGCGAGGGACGCCGAGATCGCCCGTCTGATGGAGGAGCTCAAAATCTCCGAGGCACGGAGGATCCCAGATCCGCCGGCGCCGTCCCGGCCGGCGACCTTGGAAGAGGAGGCAGCTGCGGCCGCTAAGCAGGCACAGTCCGACGACGCCCGCTACGAGGGCCTGGTTGTCGACCGGTGGAGAAAGGCCGAGACTGTGGTCGAGGCGTGGCGCTTCTGGAACTGCCGCACCACCACGGACAGCTGGCGTCTATGTGACAGGATCAACGAGCCCGGTTTCATCGGCCGGCATAGCCTCCTGAGAAAGTCATCGACCAACGCAAAACAGGGGGAGATGCGCCGAATGAGAAGGGCGATGGAGGCCGTGTGCCGCTTTCGCGCGTCAGACGGAGAAGCCGACACCGCCGCCGTCATCAAGAAACTCGACGAGCTCGCTGCGTCGGGAATTGTGACCTTCTGTGATGCTCTGAAGATCATCGACGCCGACGCGCTACCGATACGCACGGAGGGGAACCTGGGAATCAAGGGGCTTTCCAAGGGTGAAAAGCCCAAGCTGACGCTTGCGTGGGGACTGGTGGCGGCGGGATACATGACGCACAAGTGGGGCGAGGACATGTTCCCGACCACGTGGGAAGAGCAGAAAAGCTGTGGCGGCCAAATCGGTCGCGGAGCATGCCGCTGGAAGACCGCCGTCGCCGCCGCCGACGAAGACGTCCAAGCGTTGGAAGCCGGGCTGATGTTTTGAGGGGATGGCCGCCGGATAGGCTGTGCTTTTTTATTTCGTTACTGAATGTGACTTTTGTTTGCATCTATGACTGTGCATTCCTTGTTTTTTCTTCCGGCTGGGAAAATTACAATCAAACGAAAACATGTCGGCGCTCCAGGAACAGCAAGTTAACCTACATCCTAGGATCATACCAAAAGTGCACAATGATAGTCGGCGCCCACACAATTCCCACAATCCATCCACAATCCAGCTACACATTGCGCCGTCAATCCAGTGCAGAACAACACAACAAAACAGAAAAAAAAAAAAAAAAGACCATCTCGCTACACGGCGTGCTTCCCCTTCAGTCCCTTCTTCCCCCTGTTCTCCAAATATTTGTCCATCTTCTTGTCCAGCGGCACCTCGATGCCGCGTGCTCGGAGAAGAGGGCCGCTGGCGTAACACGAACCCCAAAATGTGAGGGTCTCGATAGTCGCCCAGGCGATAATCTCGACGTCGTCTTTGGGTTCGAGGTTCTTGTAGAGCTTGCGAAGAGCAGTACCCTGCAATTCGTCGGTGACGTTGCACGGAACCTCCCCCAGCGCGGCCTGCCTCGCAACCGCCGTTTCTATCACCGCCATCACAACGTCGTGACAGAGGTCTGCAAAGTCGGTGCTCGCTCCACAAAGCACTGCCGTCGCCTTCGCTTCACCCGCCGCATCGCCGACCTGTGCCTCGGTCTCGGCGAAGCACCACACGGCGCAAGATGAAGCAGCAACAGCTTGGGCCAGCTGCTTACCTTCCTCACCAGTCTTTCTGGCCGTGCTGGCTGCGACTGGCCCAAACACAGCACACATCGAAACGCGGTTGATGATGTCGGTCAACTGCTGCTTCCGCTTGGTCGGGTCCCAATTAACGCCGAACCACACCGCCGACCTCAGCACCTTCATCAGCGGAGGGCCTGAGGTCGTCTTTTGTTTGAAATCGGCGAGGACACTCTGGAACCTGTCACACCCGACAGCGGAACGAAACGTGTTAGGTTGGCGCAGAAACTCAGAATGAACCTTTCATCACGCCGCTCAATACGCCACTAATCACGCGAGTCTTACCGTGCACGAAACATGATGCCGTCTGACCGGTCTGGAAGTGTTGATCGACGTCTATGAAGCCGGCAGGATAGAGGTTCGGAATGGACGGAACGGCATGGCGAGCAACGGAATCGCCGCCTGACCAGTCAGACGCCCTGGTCTGGCCGGCCTGGGTGGACGCTGGTACACCGGCCGGCCGATCCTCCACATCAACGTTGCCCGACGTAGCTAACGCAGCCCGTTGTGTGGCATGTTCGTTTGCCTCCATCGCCGCTTGTATAATTTCCACATCCTCGTCCTCGATTATAAGGTCGTTGAAAATCGGTTAGATCGGCACCTCCCCAATGCCACCAGCTCCGGCCGCGGGTGTGAAGCTGCCACCGTACGTTGTTTTCAAAAGGGCGACCATCCCCAAGATCGAAATCCTCCTTGGTAGGAAGAGGCATTGTGCTCGTCTTTGTTCATTTGCCACATCAAAATTTCCTCACTAGTGTGTATAAATGTGTGTGCAGGGATTCTCGTCCGTGCACAACGCAAAGGCTGGATGGATGAGTCCCTTGTGAAGGAATGGACCACCAAAGTGGTCGCTCCCTTCATGATGCCGATCCTTGGTCAACCGCGCGAACCATGCTTGCTTGTGCTTGATTCATACAGGGGTCCCTTGACGCAAAGCGTCAAGCAGACAATGTCCTTTTTCAAGCTTATCCCAGCTGTCATCCTTGGCGGTTGCACTTCTTTGGTGCAGCCACTTGATGTTTCTATTAACAAGTCGTTCAAGTGTGCAGTACGCAAGCTTTACCAAGACTGGTTTGTGGCAGAGGGCATCAACACCCTTACAAAAGCCGGTAAGATTTGCTTTCCATTTGTTCTCTGTCGTTTTTCCCAACAACACACTCATTCATTTCCTTCATGTGTGGCAGGCAACCTAAAAAAACCTCCTGCTGAACAGGTCCTTCTCTGGGTGGCAAAGGCGTGGGAATCCATTCCCGAAGCCCTCGTTGTCCAGTCGTTTAAGACATACGGACTCTCGAATGCCTTGGATGGGTCACAAGACCACCTCTGCCTTCGCCACCTGACTGAAGACAGCGAGGTAGAGATTTCTGATGAGGTGGACCCTACCGGGTGGGCAGGGGAGAACGACACCATGTCCCGTCCTCCCCCCCGCACCGAGGCGACAGCGGAGGTCGAGGAGGTGCAGGAAGGTGGGCTTGCAAAAGAGGACCCTGACGAGGGGGTGGAATATTGGTTCACTGGAGAAGATGAGAATGACGATGCAGACGCATATGATCATTTCCGTGATGAAGAGTAGTGCTCTTTGTATTGTGTAGGCTTCATTGCATGCTAACCATAGAGAAGGCAACTTAGTACGGTACCACGAATCTAGTAGCTTAGCATGCCCTTAGTTTAGTAGGCCCCACTAATGACAAATGTCGAGAGTACGGTAGTAATTTCCAAAACCCTTTGAAAAATGCTGCGGTGGGGGGGAAGAGAGGGGGGGAAAGGGGGGGAGGGGGGGGGGGGGGTCTAATCCGGATGACGTCTCTGAAAGGAGGGTCTATTATGAAAGTGCGTATAGCATTAGGCCCCTCCCCATTTAACGACCCGGGGGTCTATAATTTCGGGGGGTTCATTACCCGGGTAAAAACGGTATGTGCCTCGATTTGCTGCGGTCAGGAGTGCACAATCATTTTTTCACTATTCGTAACATATGTAAACACATGTATGCCTCTGTTTTTTACCATTCAGTCATTTTATATCCACTCTGACCTGAGGTCAACACTTCCGCTGCAATTTACTCTGTGCAAAACTTCCTGAGGAGATCCTTGGCACGATCAACTTTCTGATCGTGACAATTCCGATTGGTTATTTGCGAGCATGAACGTTGGACTCCCCCCCCCCCTCTGCCCCCCCCCCCCCCCCCCCCCCCCCCCCCCCCCCCAAAACATAACTACAAAATTATACCGAAGCTTTAAACATAAGATTTTCAAACCTAAGATGATTTGTGTTTGAAATATTCCCGTTTAAGCAGCCTGTGGTGTAGAAGAAACGCGCTGTATTCATTATTTTAAGATCGTAACAATACTACTTTGCAAAGTTCCTGGTGTCACTAATGGCATTCCTGATTGCTACGAACAGGGACCACGAAACAAGGTTCTGCGACTTCTTTCCACCAGGACTACACCTGATGCTCGTTTGAGTCACCCATGGTTGCCTTGTGAAGAGGGCGCTTAAATGATTCTTGCAATTCGCAAAAATTTTGTTAATTCACAGCTAGCAAAAAAGGATTCGTTCGTGCTTATAAAAAACGTTTGTAACCTATCCGTTGACATTTGTCTTCGGTCTCTTCAGTCTGACATCAATCTCTTCGTTACTATTGGTTCAAAATCACTGCAACTTGCGCGAGATGCTTGTAACGTGGGTGCAACTGGCTGGTAGAAAAAAAACCGGGTGCAGGCTGTCTAAAAGGTGTAGACCAAATTCGCGTGCAGCGGTTGGGCATCATGCGTACAGCCCTGTAACCTTATCCAAAGGTTGGCGCAGCTGGTCACGCGTTCACCCGTGCGTCTACCAAGTCCAATCGGCAAACATAACAGAACAAGGGTGATCGCAGACCACAAGTTTAGCATGATATAGCTCAGCCAACGAATTCCCCCGCCCGTTTTCGCCAAGCAGAACCGACAGGGCCCCATTTCAGCTCGCCGTCCGACCGTCGGAACTTGTCTGGCAAACTCGGGCAAGGAGCCCTAGGGAACGCCGAACGACCGTCGACATCCCCGTGAGCTGAGAAATACCCACATGTTATATCTCAACGCGTGGCGAGTTGCCACCAGGACACGTCGCCCGCAGATGCTCGACACGCGGCGGGTTACGGACGACCTAGATTTCGTGGGACCTCCCTCGAATGATGTCGGCGTCCACGCGTCACCCGAGCACGCCTCCGGCGTTGAGCGGGAAACAGGCACAGCGACATGAGAATGTCGGTGCGTGACACACGGCGTCCATCGGCGCCACCGGGTAGGTCCAGCTGGAAGAAATCGGCGGTAAAGTTTTGCGCTGAAGAGGAACACGTGGGGACCGAAATGTCGGCGCCGTACACGCGGCGTGCATCGCCCTGCGATGCCTGGTCCAGGTGTCGAACATCGGCGGCCTGGCACGTGCAAGGGAATCCGACGTGGGGGCAGGGTAATGTCAGCGCCGGTCACGCGGCGTACATCGGACAGCGAGGCCGGGTCCAGGTGTGCAACATAGGCGGGCTAGTATTTGCTTGAGAAACCGACTAGGGGCCGGGAGAAATGTCGGCGCCGGACACGCGGCGTACATCGACCGTCCAGGCCGGGTCTACGTGTCGAACATCGGCAGGCTTTTCCGTGCTCGGGAAAGAGACGTGGGGACTGAAATGTCGGTGCCGGCCACGCGGCGTACATTGACCGGCTAAGCCGGATCCAGGTGTCGAACATCGGACCCGACCAGTTGGGCAGGAAAACAGACCGCGCGATGTCCGCAAAGTAGGCATCAAAAATATCTCGTGGAACCAATCAACGGTGTCAGGATTGCCCCATGAAAGAACGCGGGGACCACTCCTCGGCGCGCCCCGTAGTGCTGCCGTGGCATGGCCTCTGTAGCACCTCTAAGGTCAGTTACGACCGTGTTGTAGTGGCCATGCGGGAGTCGTGGCACGTCAGAGAACGCGGCGCCTGGCGTGTACAGATATTTGACTGCACGGTGGCATGTGTCGAGCCGCGCATGTCCATTACCTCTCCGCAACCAAGTTCCCACTAGCCATTTTCCCATCCTCACTTCCACCATCACTTCCTACGCCTGCGCTCTCGCACTTAGTTTTTTTTTCTCCTAGACACGCTCTACGGAGAACACTGCGGCTCCGGCGTCAGTCGCCGACCACCAGGTGAGACCGATTTTCGGGGCACTGGGTTTCAGACTAGAGACAGCGTAGCTTGGTCGTCGCTCTCGCCGATTTCACAGTCTCGTCGCCCAGTTTAGATCGCGGTTTAGGGAGGAACAATCTGTCATATCGGCTTTGATTAATCATATCGGCGTAGAGGCAGAAAGGGCCCAGACAGCGCGGACATGACCGGCGAACGGCCTGGTGCAACGCCGCCGGAAACCAACCCCCCTGAGGGCGACATCGCCGCGCAGTTGGCGCAAGCGTCGCTCGCCGCCCGGTTAGAGACAGCCACTAGGGTCACTAGGTCACTAGAAGCGGCCACAACACAGCGACAGTACGCCACCACCGTTACACAGTACCGCCATTTTATGCCCGACCCGCCGACCAACTCCCCGCCTCGCCCTCAGTAGACCTCGGAGCGGTGATAGGACAGTCGGGCAGCATGTCGGATTTCGTTCCGCTGGCAGCCCAGGCGGCGGTGAACCTGACAGGTGATACCACTCCGCCGACCGGCGACTGCCCCGCCACCAATCCCGCACGGACGCTGCCATTGATTTACAATCTAGTCGTTCTAGCAAAAATCCCCGTCGACCCTGACATTCCGCCGCCACCAGTAGGGGACACCCAAAAGCAACGCCCTAGCCAGCCGAGGCAGCAGGAGGAGTCTTCATCTAGCGAAGACGAGGACGAACCCCAGCCCAGTCCAGGACCTAGACGCCAACGTCGGCCGCTCACTCGAGCCGAGAGGGATTGAAGAGAGATAGAGGAGGCGTTGGCCGAGGACGAGGCTGAGGACAGGCTGAACGCGAGCGTGCCGCGAGGAGAGTTTACATCGGCTGAGTTTGTCGTCGAGGATCTGAGGAACAGCGACATCGAAGTACTGATAGCAAATGCCCTTCGCCACATGGAGACGCTCGAGGAAGGGTCATCGCTGCGGCAGTACATTTTGTGGATACTTCACTACAAGAGGTGGGCGGTGGATTCGCTTTCGGAAGAAGGCGACGACCTGGAGCCGGGGTCAACACTCAAGGACAAGGACGAAATTGGAAAGCACATCGACGATGACTTGGGCCCAGATTGGCACACCGCCCTGCGCCAATTCGTCTGGTTGCACGGCCCGAGGACCAACGAGCCACGAATTTGCGCTTACGTCTTGTTCAGAGCGCGAGAGACCATCATCGAGGCGATGAGGAGCGAAGAGGGCAACACCGCCATGCGCACGCAGCCGATCAAACCCTGCCTGGTCAACATGCTACTCGGCCGCATCAAAGCCCTTCAGATGGCGGCCAAGATAGAGGCGACCCTATACCGAGAGAAGGAGCTGCACATCATGCAGGACATCTCGGTCGTCCGCACGGAAGTGCGTGTCATGGTTCGCGGAAAGAACAAAGCCGACAACAAGTAAGTTAATCGGCGCAGACTTTGCCTGTCCTCTCTCATTCACCCGCCAATGTATACCGATGCCGCTCACGCACAATCATAACCCTCGCGCGCTACACTTGTGCAGAAAATATGTCGACCGACATCGCCGAACCATCGGCAACACTTACACCACCGAGCAGTTCCGCAAAATCATGTTCAAGGTGTTGACGCACTGGTCGGCGACGGCGTGGAATCCACGTGGAACAGGTCCTTCCCAGACCCTGTGGAAGTTCATGCTGATGAGAACGATGACCCTGCTATTGCACCACACTCTACTCCGAGGTGCCAGCGTACGCGAGATCACGCTCGCCGACATCTTTATGTACCGCCTTGCTAGTGGGTCGGCGGTCAACCCTAACAACCGGCCAATGGTCATGGTGATCGCGGTGCGCAACTCGAAGTCGTGCAAGGACGCCCGTCTTCATCACAGCTACGTGGCGTTGCACTTAGAGGCGGAGGTGTGTGCTGTGGGCGATACGATCCTCTGGTTGCACTTCATCTACGACCAGGTATTCCAAATCTTCGGCGTCCGCATAATTCCGCCGCTGGACGTACGCCGACCGGAGCTCTGGTACGACAAGCATCTCTTCTTTGCCCGCTACGATAAGGATCAGGGAATGCTGCCGTCGTCGAGCCAGCAACGAATCACGCGGCAGCTCTGGTCGGCGAACAAGGTTTTCATCAAGCACAACGTGCACGCCGCTCGCGCCGGCGGGGCACAAGAGCTGGCGGACCAAGGCACGTCGCGCGCAGAGATAGCCGAAATGGGTCACTGGGCTATTGATAAGATGACGAGGAGTTACATCACGTCAATTCCCGTCAGGGTGGTGACGAGGAAGGCCGGCTACTCTGGAGCCTGGAGCGACTACTTCCTGGGCCGCATCAGGTTGGATCCGGGCCCAGACCTTGAGAAAACGATCGCTGCGCACATCTTTCCTGGCGTCGAGGATCAGTTGGAGGCGGTGAGTATAGCGACGCCGTCATCATGCATCTTGTCGTCGCTCTTCACTGGTTCACACCGACTTATCTCGCTTTCATGCAGGCGGAAGAGCTCGCACAAGGGCCAGAGGCGAACACGACCGCCGTGCACTTCATCCAGACCATGCTGGATGCACGCCGCATTGCGGCTGAGGACCTCGCGGTGAAACTCATCCGCACTCCGTGGCACCCACACGTCCAGGCCTCGATGCTTTGTCGGGATCGCGGCTTCCAGGCATGGGCTCGGAACATCAAGAAGATTGACACAGAGACGATCGCCAAGCGTCGTCGCCAATCCCAACGCAGCCAGCTGTAAGCCCTAGATGTCGGCGTGTCTTCCCGGCTATCGTGCTTGCACCATCTGACTCCAAGCTCCCTCCGCTGCTGTCTGCAGGAAATCTCTGCCCGCCTGGACGCCAAATTTCAGGTCGACCTTCTGAACGAGACGCTCACACACGAGACGACTATCGCCCCGATGAAGCAGATAAAGGTTGAGAAGGAGCTCGAGGAGGCACGTGCAACTGTTGTGGCGAGGGACGCCGAGATCGCCCGTCTGATGGAGGAGCTCAAAATCTCCGAGGCACGGAGGATCCCAGATCCGCCGGCGCCGTCCCGGCCGGCGACCTTGGAAGAGGAGGCAGCTGCGGCCGCTAAGCAGGCACAGTCCGACGCCGACGCCCGCTACGAGGGCCTGGTTGTCGACCGGTGGAGAAAGGCCGAGACTGTGGTCGAGGCGTGGCGCTTCTGGAACTGCCCCACCACCACGGACAGCTGGCGTCTATGTGACAGGATCAACGAGCCCGGTTTCATCGGCCGGCATAGCCTCCTGAGAAAGTCATCGACCAACGCAAAACAGGGGGAGATGCGCCGAATGAGAAGGGCGATGGAGGCCGTGTGCCGCTTTCGCGCGTCAGACGGAGAAGCCGACACCGCCGCCGTCATCAAGAAACTCGACGAGCTCGCTGCGTCGGGAATTGTGACCTTCTGTGATGCTCTGAAGATCATCGACGCCGACGCGCTACCGATACGCACTGAGGGGAACCTGGGAATCAAGGGGCTTTCCAAGGGTGAAAAGCCCAAGCTGACGCTTGCGTGGGGACTGGTGGCGGCGGGATACATGACGCACAAGTGGGGCGAGGACATGTTCCCGACCACGTGGGAAGAGCAGAAAAGCTGTGGCGGCCAAATCGGTCGCGGAGCATGCCGCTGGAAGACCGCCGTCGCCGCCGCCGACGAAGACGTCCAAGCGTTGGAAGCCGGGCTGATGTTTTGAGGGGATGGCCGCCGGATAGGCTGTGCTTTTTTATTTCGTTACTGAATGTGACTTTTGTTTGCATCTATGACTGTGCATTCCTTGTTTTTTCTTCCGGCTGGGAAAATTACAATCAAACGAAAACATGTCGGCGCTCCAGGAACAGCAAGTTAACCTACATCCTAGGATCATACCAAAAGTGCACAATGATAGTCGGCGCCCACACAATTCCCACAATCCATCCACAATCCAGCTACACATTGCGCCGTCAATCCAGTGCAGAACAACACAACAAAACAGAAAAAAAAAAAAAAAAAAAAACCATCTCGCTACACGGCGTGCTTCCCCTTCAGTCCCTTCTTCCCCCTGTTCTCCAAATCTTTGTCCATCTTCTTGTCCAGCGGCACCTCGATGCCGCGTGCTCGGAGAAGAGGGCCGCCGGCGTAATACGAACCCCAAAATGCGAGGGTCTCGATAGTCGCCCAGGCGATAATCTCGGCGTCGTCTTTGGGTTCGAGGTTCTTGTAGAGCTTGCGAAGAGCAGTACCCTGCAATTCGTCGGTGACGTTGCACGGAACCTCCCCCAGCGCGGCCTGCCTCGCAACCGCCGTTTCTATCACCGCCATCACAACGTCGTGACAGAGGTCTGCAAAGTCGGTGCTCGCTCCACAAAGCACTGCCGTCGCCTTCGCTTCACCCGCCGCATCGCCGACCTGTGCCTCGGTCTCGGCGAAGCACCACACGGCGCAAGATGAAGCAGCAACAGCTTGGGCCAGCCGCTTACCTTCCTCACCAGTCTTTCTGGCCGTGCTGGCTGCGACTGGCCCAAACACAGCACACATCGAAACGCGGTTGATGATGTCGGTCAACTGCTGCTTCCGCTTGGTCGGGTCCCAATTAACGCCGAACCACACCGCCGACCTCAGCACCTTCATCAGCGGAGGGCCTGAGGTCGTCTTTTGTTTGAAATCGGCGAGGACACTCTGGAACCTGTCACACCCGACAGCGGAACGAAACGTGTTAGGTTGGCGCAGAAACTCAGAATGAACCTTTCATCACGCCGCTCAATACGCCACTAATCACGCGAGTCTTACCGTGCACGAAACATGATGCCGTCTGACCGGTCTGGAAGTGTTGATCGACGTCTATGAAGCCGGCAGGATAGAGGTTCGGAATGGACGGAACGGCATGGCGAGCAACGGAATCGCCGCCTGACCGGTCAGACGCCCTGGTCTGGCCGGCCTGGGTGGACGCTGGTACACCGGCCGGCCGATCCTCCACATCAACGTTGCCCGACGTAGCTAACGCAGCCCGTTGTGTGGCATGTTCGTCTGCCTCCATCGCCGCTTGTATAATTTCCACGTCCTCGTCCTCGATTATAAGGTCGTTGAAAATCGGTTAGATCGGCACCTCCCCAATGCCACCAGCTCCGGCCACCGCGCCACAACCACTTTTCTCAGACGCCGCGCCGACATGGTAGGCCGCTGGAACCGCTCGAGGAACCGGCGTCTCTTCTGCCGCTGCGTGGTGTACGGGCTCCCCCAAATTCACCGGGGTCGGCGCAGCGGATGGTGCTACTGCTGGCATGGCCGAGACCGAGTCTGATGGCGTGGCCCCGGCGACGGGCTGCAGCGAGATCGGCGCAGCGGTGGGGCCAGTTGTCAGAGGATGCGTGGACGGTGCTGCCACTTGACGCGCGTTGATCACGGCCAGCAGCATGGCCGCGACCGGGTCCGAAGGTGTGGGATCGGCGACGTGTTGCCCCGTGGTCGGCGCAGCGCTGGATCCAGTCGGTGGATGAGCGGATCGTGCGGGGACTGTGTCTGGTGGCGCGGTAGCGGCGACTGGGTGCTCCATGCAGGGCGCACTTGGAGAGGGGCTGGTGATCGAATGCGATCCGGCGTGAGGTGTTGGGACTGTCGAGGGGCCGGCGACTGGTTGCGACACCACACGAGGTGTTGGGGCAGCGACGGCGATGGGCGGGTGCTGCGAAGGCGCCTGAAGAGCCACAAGCTCCTCCATCAGCTCTCTCGCCACAGGGTCATCATCCAAGCCGAGAGAGATAGTGTCTTCCCCCACGTCGACCTGGTGCATCTCCACGGGGATCGCCGGCGCCTGAAAGTCGACGGGCGGCCCACCCACATTGCCGGTCGGGAGTAACCTTGCGTTGGCACTTGCACGGGTCGCCGTGTGGGTGGTGAGGAGCACCGCGTCGGCCTGCACCCCAACAGCTTCAACACCACCGCCGACGTTGCTGGCACCTGCACCGGTCGCCGGATAGGTGGTGGGGTGGACCGAGCTGGCATGCCCCCCAACAGCTTCAACGCCACCGCCGACGTTGCTGGCACCTGCACCGGTCGCCGGATAGGTGGTGGGGTGGACCGAGCCGGCATGCCCCCCAACAGCTCCAACATTACCGCTGACATTGCTGACACCTGCATCGGTCGTCGGATGGGGGGGTAACACCGCAACCGCTTCAACATTGACGTCGGCGTTACCACGATCGGACGGCGGTGGTGCTACATCGCTTGCTCGAGGACGGGGAATCTCCGGACCTTTCCTTCCAGCGGCGTGAGTGGAAGACCCACCGGCTTGCAAACCCTCCTCGGCGGCAGTCCTACCCTCCGCACTGCCGCCACCTCCGCCTCTACTCTGCGGGCCAAGGAGCCGAGTTGTCGCCCCTTTTTTCTTCAGCATGTCGAGGACGGGAGAACCAGACCGGGAACGATATGGAACGTCGCCGCCGACGGCGCGGTTCCCACCGGCACCTTTACTCCGCTTCGAATGTCCCGCGTCATCGCCGTCGCCTGCACTTCCACTGCCAGCCCTTTTTTCCGGCCTTTGCCTTTGCGCGGTCTCCAGGTCACCGGCCGAGGGGGATGAACCACGCCGCCCCCGCCTCATTGTTGCGAGCATGTTGGGCAGAAGCGTGAAGCCGACGGTTCCCAGCGCCTGCTGCGTGACGGCGGTCACCGCCTTCACAATGTCATCCCTCATGGCTTTGATGGCTTCTTCTGGCAGCGCGGGAGATGGACCAGGAAGCGGGGGCGGCGCGATCCTATGGGTTATGCCGCCGACGATATTGATGGAAGCTGAGGCTAGCTGGGCCTGGATGTAATCGGCCAACACAACCTTCACGTTCTCCGCCACGCTTGACATGTGGTTCCCCAACCGCTATTCGGCATCCAGGCGGCCAACTCTCAGCTTGTCCAAGCCCTTCATAATTTCTCCCAACAACGGCGTCGCCATGCTGCTGCACGCATTGACCAGAGCCACCCGATCGTCCAGAACTTTGGTGAAGACGCCCGTCCTGGTTGCTGTGGCTTTGGAGACGTGTGTCCCTGCCGTCTGCTCTGCGGCGGCGACGCGTTCGGTCAGCGACTTGACCGCCTCGAGGCATTCAGCCGCCGTCGCCAACAACCCCTCCGTCCGACCCCTCTCGGCAACCACCTCCGACCGCAACCCCGCATTCTCGTCTCTGAGTTTCTTGTTCTCCTCTTCCTGTCGCTTCAGGTGCGCAAGTGCGTCTGCCGACGCCGACTTGTAAGAGGCGGTCGATGCCGGATGACCATGCGCCTGCACCTTCATACGATACTTGTCCCCCCCTTCAATGCAGGCCGACGCCACATTTGCGACGGCCCCGCCGGTCGACATCAGGACACGGCCAGCACCCGCTTCCACATGACCACAACGGTCCTGTGCGTCTGCTACCCCACCGGCGTCGGTGTCGACCTCATCGCCATGCGCCGCCTTCTCCGCGGGCCTCTCCTCCTCCTTCTCCTTGGAGTCAGACTCCGCCCCTGACTCGGAGCCAGACTCCTCCTCCTCCTCCTCATCGGAGCCTGCCCTGCGCTCCTCTCCTCCTACCAAGTCGGTCTCATCACCGCCGCCACTATGCCCGCTTGTTCCAGTTCTGCCGAAATCCGCCGGGCGAGTCGTGGCCGCGTGGGACGCCTGGGCTGCTTGAACCAGATGGGCCGCCTTCTTTGTTGCGATCCCCTCGTCGTCCAGGGGTGAGGTACTTGGCCCCGATGGATGATTCGCAGGCGCCGCCCGCCGCTCAGCGATGCATATCTGGACGTACTCCACCAGCACCGATTTGAGAGCCTTCAAACCCTGCGACCCCGGGTTTTCAGCGGTCGCCGGTGCACGTGACTTGAGCAGGTTTTCACACTCTCTGACCACCCATTCGAACGCGCTCACAGCATGCAAGCCGGTGCCGACTTGTTCGTTTTTTACAATGCTCGGCAATTTCTGCGCACATCCATTGCAAGGGCAGGCGAGGTGAGCCGAGGGTATGCCAACTTTCACACAGCTAAAAGGCCAATTCAAGGCGACTACTAGGTCAACAAAGATGCACGTAGCGCGTGGGGCCGTCGCAACCGGCGAGACGTTGCACCACGACCTCGGCAGAGGGAGGCGGCCACTTCCAGGTACTGTCACTTCGACCAAGCTCGACCAGAACACACCGGTGGAAAAAACTGCAACGACGGGGCATAAAAGAGTGAGTGTGCAGGCCGGCGAGAAACTCTTGGTCATGGCAAACAACGGCACCACTACAAACATGCCTACCTCAACATGGCGACCGCCTCAGACGGATGCAGGCGGCTTGGAGTTTTCGGGTCGAGGTGGCGGAACGAAGTCCTGCTCTCGACGTCGGCGGCCATCAACAAGTCGCCGGGACGCAGAATGATGACCACGCTGCAGTGGACCCCGGGAAGCGGCCCGATCCTGCACAAAAACCGTGAAACACCGATTTCAAACTCTGAAAACACCGAGAACAACTATGACGTCAACTACACCGAAACATCGTCTTTCTCACGTCGTAATAATGGGCAGGACAGCAATGTCGGCGTCGAACACCGACTGAAAACAAGTAAGGTCGGCATTCTTGATCGCCTCGCGAAGCCGGCTGCACCCTATAATCCACGGCTTCAATTCCGGCAGTGCTTCGCGAAGCCACATGTACCTGCAATTGACCGACGGGTGGTGGGAACGTGTGGGCATCGGCTTAGTATTACGAACTCGAGGCCGGCGAAAGTGACAAAGCAAACACGATAGCGGCCTTACACGCCGACGTGGACACGCTCACGACGTACCTCGGCGTGATAACTGTTCATGGTCGGCGCAAGAACTAGATAGTTATACCGGCGGCAAACCGTGGGTATAGATCAAGACACCGACGGCGTCGACCTACCGCTCGGTGTTCCATCTAGGCGGGGACGCCGACCCAATGAAAGGCCGCACATCATTCGGGACCAGCGTCTCGTACACTCTGACTGCCATCACTGTCGACAAATCGTCGGCACGAAAAAGTCCGACTTCCGGGGACATTGACCTATAGCAAACCCTCTGGTATCGATCGCTGCCTCAGATGCCGACCTCGACACCAAACGATACTAAACGATACTAAGTAGGCGGAAACCAAAGGAACCAACAAAGCACATGGATGTCGCCTTCAGCGATAGGAACGAGAGACTCACTTGAGCGCGAGTGTGAAGCAAAGCTCGTTGAAGTCTTTCTTCGCGTCGCGCAGTACGGCGAAGCCCTTCTCGTGAAACGTGAAAGTGAGCCCGCGGCCCATGTTGAAATACAAGGGAAAGTCCTCCGCGGTCGGCGTCGGATGAGCTGCGCCCGGCGTCGTGTGAGCGGCGCCATGATCTATCTCCATGATCTAAGGCAGGACACTACAGGCTAGAAGCAGGACGAAGGAAGGCGCAGAGCTAAGAAATCAAAAAGCGAAATGGGAAGAGCAAAATGAGCCGACAGTGGCTCCGTCCACAAAAATAAGTCACGACGAACGCAGACCAAGGCGGTGCCCACAACCGGGCAGAGGCCGATGTGGCTCGGAAAGATGAAAGCCCCATCCAAATGCAACCTCGTCCAATTGCACGCTCGTCGGACGCCGAGCCAGCTCGGCTCCGTCACGCCCCCTCGCCTCGGTTGGCGTGGGGTCTGGTGGCATGCAGCGTCAGACGGGCCTGACATGCAGGGTCGTCCCTGGGCAGACACGTGTCCTCACGCCATCGGGTCGCGAAATGGCCGAGGGTCCTGAGGGGAGCACCCAGATTTCGCCGGCCCCTCGCCTGCCCATTGGGGCAGCGCGAGACCGAGGGTTACTAGGTCGTCGCGGGCAGGGCCACGGCGAGGGCTGCCTTCGCCCTAGGGTAACTTTCCCTCGTGCGAGGGCTCGCGAGTTCGCCGCCCCCACCCGGTAACGTGGGTTGCTGTTGGAATTCGGAGGGGGTTTGCGGGGCGGCGGACGTTCGCTCGGCCCAGCCCTGGGCCAGGCTGGCGGGCCCGCACGCGCGCCAGATCCCCGCCGCGGCGGTGCTGGGCCCGTCGACCTCGTCCGTCGTCCCTGGCAAAGTGGGCCGCCGGACCCTTGTCGGATGAGCTATTCAGCTCCATATTTGCTTGCCAACAACCACCGACACAAGATATGTTGGGTGGAGAGAACGTGTTGGTTGATTACAAGTGACTCAGCAGGATTCAGTTCGGTTCACAACATTACAGAACGGCAAGAAACGGAAACCGTTCCTGTCCGCAAATGCACAAATGTGACCCGAGTGTGTCTCTGCGACTCCAGTTGCCGGTGGTCGGAAGTCAGGAAATGCCCACCCCGTACCGTGGCCCGCTTTTCTCGTGGTACAGGTAATGCTCACCTCTTGCGCGCGAAATTTCCTTGCACTTTTTAGATGCCCTACCCGCGATGACGAGGTGCCCTAGAGGTTGCACCCAGGGTACAAGCCCCCCAAGCAAATTGCATGTAGGTTGGTAAACGCCAAAACACCCAAACAAGAGCAAAAGACAGACCCAGTCGACCAGGGTCTGCCGTGTTTCTTGGCCAGAGACAAACATCGCGAAATGACAGGCTGAAACTCCGTTGACGTCGCGCGTTACTTCGCATATGACTAGCTGCCATGTAGGGAGGCTCATGGTGCGTCAAACACATTTTAGGAAAGGAGCGACAATCTGACGTGTACCTTGCCCAAGCTCGGTACAAACACATTGAAAACCAAGCGTTGTTCAAAAGTCACACGTCACATAGTGGTTGTGGTAACTCCGATACCGCACGCCACAATTTAAGGCCACATACATGTGTGTTTCCTGACGTTGGGCCGACCAATTGCCTTTGCGAACGCACATTCAAGCCCCAGTCAGTAGCACACGTTTACACTTCAAATAGGCTTCCAATTTCACTCGACATTCACTCACTCCATCCCGCTAGCTCAACATGCCTCGTCTCTACCACCGAAGCCAGTTAGGTGTGCATATCAAACGGGCGATTTGCGCCCACCATGTCGCCAACCCCCAACTGCGCCACGTCGATCTCAGCTGCTGGTGTTTCACCCGCTTCGGCATTAGGCCTGATCGCAGCACCATTGGCCGAGTGCTGAAGGGGTCCGAGCGATGGGCATCCGCGGCATCCGACAACAACCTCGTGCGCGTGCGCGGCGGAGCCCATCCTGAACTCGAGCGTGCGATGGCGCGCTGGATCGCCAATGCTGGCCTGGCTGGTGTGCCGCTGACCCTTGCGACAATTCGTGAGCATGTTGCGAGCATGGCGCGCAGCATGTCTCTGCCGCCGACTTTCCGGTGCTCCATCGGTTGGGTCCGCCGTGCCTTGCGCCGCCAGGGTGTCAAGTGCATCGCGGCATGTGGCGAGGCGGCCGACCAGGACCTCGCCGCCGTCCGTACGACTCGGGAGAAGCTCCCACAGCTCATCATGCACCTCTCCGTGAGGCCGCGCGACACCTACAACTTCGACGAAACTGCCCTCTACACTTCGGTGTTTCCTCGCAAGACGTACGGCGCTGGCCGTGTGGCTGGAAGGAAGGAGGTGAAAGATCGCCTCACCGTCGGCTTTCTCGTCAACGCTGACGGCTCTCACTCCTTCCACCCCTTGGTGATCTCCAAGGCGAAACGCCCCCACGACTTCCGCCCTAACTTCGATCCGGAGGAGTTTTGCTTCTGGCGCAACACCGCCAAAGGCTGGATGGCCTCACCGGTAAGTTTTTTTCCATCAATGTTGATTGCCGTTCATACATATGCGTCAGGATAATGTGTCCGTGTACTAAAACCTCTATGCTCTATCACACACATCCCCCATGGCAGCTTTTCACCCTCTTCATCGAGCAGCTGAACGCTGCCATGTATGCCGAGGATCGGCATATTGTGATTCTGCTCGACAACGCGAGCAGCCATGTCCTCACCACGCGTGGCGCCACCTCCGAAGACCTTTTCGGGTTCCGCACGCGTTCTCTCTCGAACATCCGCCTTGTGTATCTCCCACCGAATACCACCTGCTTCACCCAGCCACTCGATCAGGGGCTCATCGCCATGGCAAAGGCGCGGTACCGGCAGCATTGGCTCCGCGCCTTCACCGCCCGATGGAATGCGGAAGGAGCGACCTCGTGCGTGGCTTGCTTCAAGCCCAACATCCGCGGCGTCATTGCCTGGCTCAACAACGCGTGGATGAACATCGAGTTGCGCACCATCCAGCGTTGTTGGTGGCGCACCGGCTGCCTCCCGCGCGCGTGGGCCATGGACCTTCCTTACGTGGGCGACGACGCAGTCGGTGCGGGGCGAGCTGAGGACATAGGCCTTGACGAGGAGATCGGGGATGTTGGCATCCTCATCGATCGCCTCGGCCTCGGCTCAAGCGCAATGCCGGCAGCGGCATTGGTCGCCATCGACGACAACCGGCCAACATGCGCAGAGCCGGGCGAGGATCCGCTCGCGACCGAGCCGCCAACCGCGCCTTCTGCGGAGATGTGGGAAGCCCCCGCCACCATGCAAGCCGTCTACGAAGACAGCAACCCCGAGACCCGCGAGGCACGGCGCTACGCTCGCGCGGCCTCCGAGATGCTCATCGGCTATGCGAAGGCAACCGGCATCACCCCGCGGGACTTGTGTGCGCTCTTCGACATCCGCAACCCCATCATCAGGGCGCGTATGGAGCGCGCCAGCCCGCCGATTAATCTCAACATCACCCCGCCGCCTGCCATGCCTGAGAGCGTGTCGCCACCGGCCGAGACACCTCGTCGCCGTGGCCGCGTACTGCCGGCATGGACAACGGAGCCCACCCCATCGGGGGTGACCCTGGCTCAGCGGGTGGCGCGCCGCCAGGAGCTGATCGACGGTGGTGTGCCGGCCATCATGGGAGGCTACTTGGCAGCCGCCGAATGGATGCGCTTGTGAAGGGGTTTGATTCCCCTCGGAGGAGTTCAAATCTCCTCTTGCTGCAATGTGCACATCTTGTGCACATTGCAGAGATTGGAAATCGATGACGGGGAAGCATCATGAGTACAAGTGTGAGGATTTCATTGGATGGTGGGTTGGGTGTGGTGTTCGTGACAATTTGAGGGAGGTTGTGTACTCGCATGCTATATTGGACGAAAAAAAAGTGGTAACCGCGCAACTTATGAACAACAAAACCGGCCCACCACTACTGTTTGAAATAAAACAAACATGTAACACCCAGTATTTTTTAGGAGCACGTCAAGGCTGTTGCGAACCTGTACGAACAATACGAAATGCTTAAACCGCTTATAAGCCCAGAGCACAAGGCAAAGTAGGGTGCGCCAAACGGGCATTAGCTGTAGCGTCTCAAAGAACAGTGTTAACCTAAAACTTACCCTACACCGGGTAAACCTAGGCGCATACCCGAGGTGGTCGAAGGGGATACAAGGTAGTATCATTATCACCTGCCCGATGTGACAATCGGAACTGAACGCAGAACGCAGCGGGAAACACTAGACAGGCGGGGTGTGTCAGTTCTGCGTGACTCGGGAGGGCCTCTCCGGGGAGAGGAGGCGGGAGAGAGCGGGACTGAGGCGGCGGTGGCCAGTGCGGGCGAGGCCGATGGCACGTGAGCCTAAGCGCCTGTGCGCGCTGGCGCTGGCATGGTGGCTCGCCTTCCTTGTCGCAACGCCCGTCGCGCCAGTCAACGCCGTGCCGCTCGAAGCCACACAAGGCGAGTGCCGCTGCTCAAGGAGATTGCCGCATATAGATGGATTGGATCAATCATCGCGGTGCAGTTGACGTGTTTGAGGCCCGAAACGAAGGCGTGAACATGCAAAAAAGTATCTACAACGTATCCGTATCGTAGGTTTATTTGCTCGAATATTTTTGGGACTGCATTTTTAGGTCTTGCCTTTTCAGCGAGTCGCTGTCGCTCGTTGCATAACTACTAGAATGGGTTTCACTTCCAGAAGTAATCTGTTGGTATCATTGAGGTATAATTTTGACGGATTTGTTGGCATTGAATGCCTGCCACGCGCGAAGCTGTCACGCCCCAAACAGGCAGCAGGCCGAGCGATGATGCGATGACCACCGCGCGGGAGCAATGGCCAAGGGACGCGCGAGAGCCCCACGAGGAGGCCCATGTTTGTAGAGTAGAGAAGAAATAATCCTCTGTGCACAGTAGTAGAAGATGTTTGTCAGTGACACCATGTGTTGCCACTCATGCGGGCTATAGAATTCCTCACCCGCAGGTTGCGCAAGAGAGAGGCGAGATTGAGCGACACAGGATGACAGATCGCTGACCATGAGTCGTTTTCAGCCTGAAAAAAAATGTTGACGTCAGCCGTGAGGTTCGTTGTGGAAATTCTCCGTTGTGGAGTCCCCATCCCACCTCACCCTTCTCCACCCCCCTGCTTCCTCTGCCCCCCATCCACTGCCGCTCGTTGCAGTGCAATTCTTGCAGGAGTGCCAGGCGGCATGGGGCCAGAGCATCCCGGGGTGGAGTGGTGCGAGTCCGGACTGCAGCAGTGCCACGGGCCTCACGTGCGACCCCTCCGGCATGATCGTGGCCCTGTGAGGCCGTGGAAGGGAGGCGATGGGAGGGAAGTGATGGGAGTGAGAGGATGGGTGGGTGGATGGGAGTGAGAGATGGGAGTGGGAGGGAGGTTGCGAGTGAGAGGGATGCAAGTGAAGGGATGCAAGTGAAGGGATGCGAGTGAAGGGATGCGAGTGAAGGGATGCGAGTGAAGGGATGCGAGTGAAGGGATGCGAGTGAAGGGATGCGAGTGAAGGGATGCGAGTGAAGGGATGCGAGTGAAGGGATGCGAGTGAAGGGATGCGAGTGAATGGGTGACATCGCTGTATCCAGTGCAAGAGGGTCCTCTCCACCATGCTGCACTTATTGCCATTACTGAAAGCAGATGCTCAGTCACCATCATTGGCGTACCATCAATCACACCACCATGAATCAAACAGGCAACTCCGGAACTACAAGCTGGGAGGGCAGATTCCAAACTCCCTCAGCAACCTAAGGAAGGTCACCTATCTGTACGTCCTCAGCGCCATGTCGCCTTGAGTACATGCTCTGATCTGACAACTTGGCACTCCACCTTCCATCCTGCAACACAGCGCTTCACTTTCAGACATGAGCCAAGTCTTCTAACTTGGGCTACTCGTGTCAAGTGAATTTTAGTTTCCCGTGACCCGAGTCGAGTAAAACTCGACTCGGGTCACCTTATCCGCCCCCAAACGAGCTCCCGTCTGAGCACAAAACCTTCTCCGCGAAATGGCAGATCCCCGCGGATCTGGCTGCAAAATATCAAGTTTTTTTCTGCTCGCGAGTTAAGCACTTTGGCGAGTCTTGTAGCGGCTCGTCGACTAAGAGCGGGAGCCGGAGTTGTGCTGGTCAATCTGCTGTGGAAAGCAGCTTCAGGTCTGCTTTTCCAGTAAAGGTTTCTTCTCATACTGTCACTTTCTCTCCTTCCACTCGCTAGGCCCATACATCACCATGTTTTACCGAACCTTGGTTACTTTAATTCCTTCAATATCCACCTCTTTTGATAACTTCAATTACAACTTGTCTGTCAAGTAGTACTCCAGCAGAACGAAACAATCACTAGACTAGAGGCTCTAGTTGGGCAGCTTGTGGCCGGTCAACTCTCATCTCAACCACAATGGCCCATTAGCGAGCCAGGTTGGATCAGCTTGGCGTTCGGGATAACAACAAGCCCATCCCAGCTCGGCCTATGGCTAAGGCTGGGCGATGGGCAAGGCGATGTGGTCTGGACTGGTTGGGAAGGTGGGCAATGCGTGTCGTTTGAGTTCAAACAACACTACCTTTCTCCCTTGTGGTTTTCTCAACTTCTCATTTCCGACAACCTGCCCTCCTTGCTGCTGTTGTGCCACCTCACAGGGATCTCGCAAGCAACCAGCTGCCAGGCAGCATCCCTGCCACCGTGACTGCGCTCAGCCTGCTGAAATATCTGTGAGTGTGACATACACGCTCAAGACCCTGCCACGTCTGTTCTTGTCCTCCCTCTCCCAGTCCCCAATGCTCACATCCCCGCATTAGCCGATGCAGTGGGAGGTCGGCGGAGAAGGGGTCATCGAGGGCAGGGCAGGCATTGGTTCAGAGAGGGGATGGGAGGAGGGCAGCTGTAGCGTCCACAACAGCTGAGGGAGATCCTCGGTCTTACTGGCCAGGCCACAAATGCCGGCACGGCCTCCAGTGCTGCGTCAATGAGGACCAGCCCATCCATTGACATCGAGAGGCTGGCGCTGGGCAATGAGCTTCAGGCACTCACTTTCGCCCTTGTCACCAGCGCAGCGATGGTTACCAGCCTCAGATTGAAACACCCCCCTGCAGTACAACTCCTTTCCGAGTGGTCCCTTGCTTAGTTGGATCTTACGTGTACTCCCTCGGCACACCCTCGCTCGCTGACCAATGGCGGGTTGCGGTAATCGGCCTGAAGGTGAAGCAGGGAAGGATGGCCATAGGAGAGGCACACCAGTGGCAGCAGCGATTACAGAGGGAAGTCTGCGAGGGCTGCTACAATGGCCTGTTGGTTGATGCTGTTGAACGTCTGGTGGAGGATGAGGCAGGCCGGATAAGCGTCCGTAAAGGTGCGTGTATGATGGCTTCGCCTCCGCCCGCGACTGCCACGCCATGCTGCAGAGGTAGGAAGAAGGTCCTAGCAGCGTCGGCTATCGCTGTGATTACCATTTTAGCTGCCAAAGTCATTATGCTCTTGCCGATCAGGGCCGATCGTGCCCCCCCATCAGGCTTCGTTAGCGCTATCAAGCTGAAGACGTGAGTAGTTGAGCCGCTGCTTGCGGGAGCTTGCTCCTTAATACTGTGTTTGTTAGCGCACGAAGGTAAGTACACACCGTTGTGCTTTTTTTTTTTTTTTTTTTTTTTTTTTTTTTTTTCCAGACAGGCTCGCGCCGATCCTGTTCATGCAACGGGTAAGAAGCTTGACAAACTCGAGCCGCAAAATTCTGACAAAAACATTTGAGATGAGAAGGGCTGCAAAGGCTTATTGAGCAAACAGGCAGGTTTACACCACAATAAGAGATCGCAGTACGAGGTACAGTTGCTAGTTCTAGGCTACCTCTGCCATGCCAAGCGGCTCTAGGGTTTGGAGCCGTTCTCCCATGTCAAGCAGCTCAGGTCTCTCTCACTCACTCTCGTATCTCTCTCTCACTGTCACACACACACACACGCACGCACACGCACACACACACACACACACACACACGCACGCACGCACGCACGCACTTACATTCACACTCACACTCACCCTCTGTCTATCCGTGCAGGTGGATTTTCAACAATACCCTCACCGGCTCTATCCCGGCTGGCATTGGCTCACTGACTAGCATGCTCTCCTTGTGAGGATTCTTCCTTTTGCTGCTCTTTTCCGCATCAATCACCATATTTCCACTGCTCTTACGCTGTCCTCCCGTGCTTGTTGCTTGTCTTTTGCACTGCCCTCCACCCTGGTTTCCTTGGCTGCTCTCTTCCCTGCTCTCTTCCACCTCTTCTATCTTTCTTTCCTCCCAACACTTCCAACAACCCTGATGGTAAGGAGTGCTGGCCTGTGAACCCCAGGCGAGAAGCTATGTTAAATTCTCATGGAATTTTCGCGCCCACTGTTTTTTACACCAGTGCGTATGCGCTAGCGTAGTGTACATGAACTTTACGTCTGCAGGGAGATTGGGCAGACGCTAGAATACGCTCACCCCAGAGCAGTGCCCGCGGGCCACGGCTTTGTAAGGTCAGGTAGTTGCGAAAGGGAGAAACCGTTAAATGCGATACTGGCCCCGCTGCCTATGGTAGATTTACGGGAGACTACATGGACAGGAAGCCCGAGTTCCATCAAGTACGTACTGTCCTTGGAGTGGACGGGTTGAGGTCGGATAGATAGAAGCTGTGGAATGGGTAAGGTCTAGCATTTCCCCTCTAGGTCCACGTGGACGGTTGTACCATTGACACTCAAGGTCTCGACAAGCCTCTCCAGGTTTGGCGACTGCCGAGTCTTCCACGAGCCCGGCTCATCGAGCCATCGGCCAAGACGGCGGAACAGGATTTTTGCTTGACACGCCTTGCCAACAAGCGGAACCATCGGCTCAGACTTATGCTCATGTGTACTCCGTCCCTGCTTCCTCTATCTCGTCTCCTGACTTCCTCACCTCCTTACCTCTACATTTCTTTCCCATATCTGCCTCCATTCTGTTCAGGCATGAGCATAAAGCCAAACTGCTGTTCAGTTTGATGCGAATCAAACCGTGGCTCTTTTTGCTGCCAGTTTGAGTCAAAAACCTATTCTTTTGACGGGTTTGATCGGTTCGACTATCTTACACTAATTCCCTCCCCCCCCCCCCCCCCCCTCCCCCCCAAAACCCCCAACTTTTAGAGCATGCTCGTGGACTTTAGGTAACCAGAGTGTCAACTGACTCTGGGGAAGAAAACCGTGTTGTGAGGGCTAGTGTGCGGTTAGGTTAGGGCTGTTTGATTTGAACCTGGATTGTTTCGAACTAAACCGATTCTGGTTCGATTTAAGCTTCCCAATCCGACCCATAATAGTCGAAGTTCGAACCGGGCAATCCTCTTTCTGGTTCGACTCAAGTAGGTTTGGTTTGGTAGATTGTTCATGCGTTCCGTTTCTTATCCTGGTCTGGTCCTGCAAATGCCCAACACAAATGGACTCTTTTTTTTTTTCCCATGCATCCAACCCCCACACAACCAACAACACTCTCGAAGCCAACATGTTGTCAGGATCTGTGCCCTCCTCGATCACAAAGCTCACTGGTCTTTCTTTCTTGTAACTTGGTTCCACTTCCACTTGAGTAATAGTCGACCCGTCCCAACCTGACTCGTCCCGACTCAGCCAGTCAGGACTCGGCCAGTTCTAGTGCATTGAAGAACTGACAGATACATTAGTTGAAATTTAACCACCTTGGAAAATTGTGATTAGAAAGAATGCTAGTCAGGCCAAACTAGGACATTTATTTGACGAAGCACGCATATAGTTGGCCCATAGGCTGGCAAGACTAGAAGTCAGGTTGACCCGAACAAACTGAATCTCGACCTGGTTTGGCTATTAGGCTGGTGAGGTTCGAATCAGGTCAGCTCGAGTCGGACTCCTTCTGCTCATGTCTAATCTCATGCCACTACCAGCGTCTAACCTACCTTCTCACCCGTTTGTTCATCTCCTTGCACATCTCTCTGCCCTCCTCCCCCCCCACCCCCCCCATCATGTGACTCTTGCCTCCTTGTCTTGGACAGTTCCCTCTCTACCAACCAGCTCACCAACTCCATCCCCACTGACATTGGCTTGCTATCAAAGCTGGTAACCTTGTAAGTAGGGATGAGGTTCGGCCCGGGTTGACCCGGGCTGGCCGAGCAATCCCTTGGCCCGGGTTCGCCCATGAGTAGCCCGGGCCGAAAAAGGTACGACCAACCGAGGCCGGTTTGAGTTTGGCCCGGGTCACTTTCCCGAGGCTGGTATTGTAACAAGTGGTTTGCGGACATACATTTTGTAAGTTCTAGACATGGCAAACAGAATATCCAATCATACAGTCACGACTCACAAGTAGGCAATGCCTTCTAGGCATGAGCATGGGCGGAACCTGGTTCGGCCCGCGCCGAACCTGGCTGGACCGTCCAAAAAACTGGGCCAAACCATGTTTGGCCCACACCGGGCTGGCGGAGAAAATCCACGGTAGGGCTTCGGCCATATGTACCCGGGCCAAAAAAGGTTCGACCAGACCTTTTGAGGCCCAAACCTGGCCGATTCGAGTTTGACCTGGGTCACTTTCGTTATAATCTCAAGTTATAACGATCTTCACTAAGTTTGCCTTAGAACCCACTTTGGAGAAGTGGGGTGGGAAGGAAGGGTGGATACGCTGCCCTGATGGTCGAGATCTGGCATGCAAAATCGCCAGATCTAGTCCAGCTTGCCTTGTATTGCATTTGGATGGTTGGGATTTCTAGGTTTAGAGCGAACCAGAAACGGTTCGCGTCATACCCGGAACCCGCTGGGTAATGCTCGTCTCGGTTTTTGACGACTCGTTCGCGTAACGAGGCGAGGCGAGTCTCACTCGCTACGTGTATTTTTGCACTCGCCCGACTCGCTACTCGCGGAAAATGGAATTTATTTTTTTACTCGTTACAAGAGAGCCATAAAAAAATTAACATGGGCAGCCAAGTAATACTTGCATTGTCAAGAAACACCTCTATGGGCACTTGAGTTAGCATAGGGAAATATTAAACCATGCCTTCCCTTGTGCGGATTGTCCCTCCTGCCCTCCGAGTAAGTGGGGAAAGGGAGGATGAAGGAGAGTGCAGAATAAATCCGTGTTCTATCTTTGGAATGGTAGAATTGCCAGTGCGATCGCCACTCAGGAAACGTCTCGCAGCAGAGTGGGTACGGGGGAGGTCTAGATTCTCGGCTGCAGAGATAGGAGAGGTTGGTTCAGGTAGAGGGAGTGAGATTTAGTGCGGTTGTGGGATGTAAATGAGTTGAAAAGAATTAGTGGTTCAAAATAGGTAGGCACGAGCAATTGCAAACATGAACATGTTCGGTTCGAACATGCCACACGCATGTTAGGCAAACCGAACATGTTTGTGTTCGCCCGAACACTTCCTGGGAGACGGGTGTTCGGGTGTTCGCCTCTATAGGCGAACACATTGATGTTCGTCCCGAGCACGAACATGCGTGTTCGTCTTTAGGCTGTAGTTCACAACTGTTGCACTGCCAAAAATCGTGTTATTTGCAGTGTGTTTCAGTGCCTGACTGCTGGTATAGTCGTCGGAGTTGTGGAGCTCGGGAAACACTGACATAACGTAAGTTTAGGGTAACGTGTTCGTTCGCCACAACACATTTGAACACAAACGTGTTTGTGTTCGACGTGGCTCGGCCACCCGCGATGAATCGAACACGAACATGTTCGACCCGAACATACAGGGCCAAGAAATAAACCTGTTCGGTTTGCCTTGAAGATGTTTCAGGCAAACCGAACAGGTGTTCGTCATTCTGCTGAGGCCTAGTTCAAAATTCCCCTTGTTCCAGTTGGCAACATTTCGTCGTGCATAATCACAAATTGTAGCAAAATAACTAAGGTTCTGACCAGCCAGCCACTATAAGATTCTAACCCCCGCTGGCAAGTCACGGTGGGGTCCATGTTACGAGTAAAATTGTATTTGCGTTGCGAATATATTATTCCTCGCGAGCAAGTTTCCACTGCTCTTCGAAGCGAGTAAAGAACGAGAACTCGTTTACTCGCGAGTAAGGTCCGCCTTGCCTTGAACAAGTAAGTTTTGCCGAGGCGCCGAGTCGTTACGTGCCCAAATCGAGGAAATGAAGTGAAGCAAGTAAAAAAACTAAACTCATTGCCCATGTCCACCACTAGGGGTCGGACAAACCAGAACAGCTTTGGGTCGAACCACCTTGAGAACCCTCCCTCCGTTACCTGGGCTGATTGGGTTAGAACGAACTGGTGTCGACTCCCACTCAAACTAGGCTTGGGCAAAAGACCCGGACGGGTCGGGTCCTTATATTGGGATTGACTACCAGGGTGGGTCGAGTAGTGTATACCCGGGCGGGTACAAAATACCCGATACCCGACCCGGGTGTCCAAAGTCGGGTATTTGATACCCGTCCAAAACAAACATATTTCTACTTGTAATGAATAAAACTAACAGAAGGGTATTCATGTATACCCGACCCGACCCCGGGTATCCTAGACCCGACCGCGGGTCAGAGATACTCGAGAGGTAATGGGCGGGTCGGTTCAACATCCTTGGCCCAAATACCCGGAGTCGGGTATACCCGACCCGACCCGAACCCGACCTCGGGTCGGCCTAAACGGGTTGGGTCGGGTTGGGTTGGGCTAATGCCCATGCCTAACTCAAACTGGACGCGGTCTGTGACAATAATAACCCTGTATAAAATAATTACGGAAAAGAACCACCATGTAAAAAGAAATGTAGCTTTACTAAAACAAAAACAGGGTCGGATCGAACCGTACTAGTTTGAGCTGAACCTATAGAAAAGCAGAACTGTATGCACAATTTGCACAATGAAAAGCAGGTTTAGAAATGCTGAAAGGTATCACAAACAATAAATAAATTAAAGTGATGGATACAAGCAAAACATAAGCCAAATTTGGCAGAGAACGAAGAAAGCTAGCTTGGAGGCGACTTAGGCTGGTCCGGGTGAGGAATTTGGTACTCAGGCCAAGGGAGTTGGGGTGGCCAAATAAATCTCAAGTCGCCCACTGTCAAGATGAGGAGGTGAGGGACCCTCAAAGTGGGTTTGAAAGCGCCCCCTCTAGTGGAACCGCGATTCCACGAGTTGGAAACGCAAGTTCCAAGCTGGAAACACATTTCCAATGTTGAAATTCATGGGCCCAGGCTTGCGCCCCCAAGGTTGAGAAATGTGCTGAGGTGCCCCAAAGCCGACTTTGGGGTGCCTAGCACTTGATAAAGTCACTCAGGGGGCACCCTAGAGCTAGTATAACCCAACACCTATTGTCGACACTATTAACGGGAGTTGGGTGTTGGCCCCGTCCTCGCATGGTCGAAGCCGACTTCGTGGTCGGGTGCGCGGGGGGTGCAGCCGACCGTCTGCAGTGGGCGATGCCGATTTGGGCGAGCAGGTTGATGGACTTGGTCGACCTGCACGGGGCCACTGCGAAGCTGCCGACGACGGGGAGCTGGCGGCCGACTTCGACCGGTGGTCGACGAAGGGACTCGTCGACCAGGGAGGGGTGGCGACTTGAAGGCGCCGACCTTGGGAGGCCGACTTGGAGAAGTCGGCGGACATCCTCACGGTGGTCGACGAGGGGCTCTTCGACCTGTGGAGCGACCGACTTGGTGAAGTCGGCGGGTGGCCGTCGGCCTGGGTGGTCGACGAGCACGTACAGTAGTTGGTCGACTTTTACCGCGCAAGTCGACGCCGACTTGGTGGTTTCCTGGTCGACCAAGTTACCAGGGCGATGAGATTCTGCGGAATGCGCGACCGTTACCCAGGAGGTTTTGGCGAAGCCGACCTCGGAGTGGTATTCCGAGGTCAACGTGGCTCATCAGGCGCCGCCAACGGCACGTAGCCGACCTGGCACCTGCGCCGTGCACATGACGGTGCACATCGCACCAACCATATGCAAGCATCTGCGAAGCTATCCCGAGTGTGTGCGCTGCTGTCATCTGTGGATGCAACGCTGGACGACCGCCTTGCTGCAGCGTTGGTAAGCCGCCGACTTGCAACGTTGGCAAGTCGCCACCTTGCAATATTGGAGCGCGGTCGACATTGCAGTGCTGGCGGTCGCCGACTTTGTTGTGCTGGAGGTCGACCTGCCTGTGTGCTAAGCATACTTGCGTCTGATGTAGCCAGTGTTGTTTTGCCTTGTTCAACAATTGTTATGAACTTTTGCTAGTGAAACTCTTGCGGTTTTGCCGCGTGAACGCACAAGTGCTAGGGAACACTAAGGAACGTTAGGATCACTCACACAACCGTGCCTTCTCCGTAGTTTAGCTTCCACCGTTGTTGAGTTGATCTCCTCATGGTGCGGTGAGCGTGGACGGCCCCGCAAAGATACTTCTGGAATGTAGGTGCACCTTACCTAATTCGTTTGTAGGCTGGCATCCGTCTTAGGCGCCATGGTAGGCCACGAGGCCGAGGCAGGCGTAGCGGATACCCTGCAGGCGAGGGAGGGTGAGGTGACGAGACGACACGCCAACAACGAGTACGGAGGAGCGAGTCTGGAGGTGATGCTCCCTGGGAACTCGCGTGTAGTGGGCGAGCGAGCATCCTCCTCCCAGTGCAGGGCCAACACCCTATTCCCGTCGACAAGTAGGGCAAGGTTCAGCACGGTTGGACTGGGCTAGGCCGGCAAAAGATCTGGACGACAAGTTCGGCCCCAATCCGGGCTGGCCGAGCAGTCCCTAAGCCCGGGTTCGGCCATGAGTACCCCGGGCCGAGAAAGATTCGTCCAAACCGGTTCGAGTTCAGCCCCGGCCACTTTCCCCGGGCTGGTTTGTCGGATTCAACATGTATGCCGTGGTGGGTTCCCGTGCCGACCTCGCATATAGCGCTGGAGTTCTTGCTCGTCACCTTCACGATTGGTCTACTTCTCATGTGTCAACCGCCAAACGGATTGGGCGCTACTTGAAAGGGACTACCTCCCTCGGGCTTCTCCGTGATGGCGTTCCCATCGCCCTTGAACTTCATGGGTGGGTGGTGTGGTGCATCTTGGGGACCAGAGGGGGAGCTCCGACGCTACGTTACGTGCTACTTGTTCTTCCTTGGCCCGCCACTCATTTGTTGGCAATCCAAACACAAAGCTGTCGTGGCTACTTCTTAGTGTGAAGATCAATGTTATTACAAAGCGTTATGGTTTTGTTCACTCTTTACTGCCCTTGGGCTTCCACCGGCCGGCCACACCCGCATCACATGTGACAACAACAGTGCCACCATTCTCGCCAAGGAAGATTGCGTTTTTTATCTCAAGGCCAAGCAAATCGACATCAAGGACCACATTTTTCGTGATCATGTTGCTGATCACTCCGTCACCCTTCACTACGTTCCTACCGAAGACAACCTCGCTGGCATTGGCACCAAGGCCTTACCTCGTGATCCGTTTCTTTGCATTCGTGCTCTTATCGGTCTCAACCATGTCTCCCTTTGAAGAGGCCTACTCGGGGACATCCTTGAGGGGGGGTGTTGTGCACCAAGTATACATGTGCAAAGCAACGAGCCGAGTTTCACTCGGCTCGTCCCTGGCACACTCGTACGAGTAATGTCACAAGCCGAGTTTAGCTCGTCCGAGTTTTTTCAAGGGAAACTCAAGCTCGTGACTCGTCTCTTATCACGAGCTTTTTAAAAGCTCGTCCGAGCTTAGGGTTAAGCAAGAGGCGAACACGAACATGTTTGTGTTCGCCCAGGGCGAACATGTCACTTGAGCAAACCGAACAGTGTTCGGTTTGCCGCGAACACTTTATAAGAAAATGGTGTTCGCCTGTTCGCCTCTAGGGGCGAACACCCCTATGTTCGCCACGAGGACGGACTCGTCTTGGCGAACATGTTCATGCTCGACTTCTCAACAGCCGTGGGATGGGCGAAATGGGCTTCTAGTAATGATACGGGCGTTGGTTTCAGCAAGAGGAGATGCTATGGTGTGTAAAGTTTAGGTTTTTTGCTGGTTTCTTCCCTAAAACGCCCCAAACACAAGGTGAACACGAACTTGTTCGTGTTCGGCGTGGCTTGGCTAGTCGCGGCGAACCGAACACGAACATGCTTGGGCGAACACTGACTATGTTCGCCCCGAACACTTTTGGCCAAAGATAGCAAAAGTGTTCGGTTCGCCCCGAACATGTTCGAGGCGAACCGAACAGGTGTTCGCCCTTGTGGTCATGTCTATCGGAGCTTAGCTCGGCTTGTTGCCCTATACCAGCATGTACATGCCTAATTTTGTAATGAGATACCCTACAACCATCAAATAAATATGCCCATATCCAGACCAGGTCTTTCGCGCTGGAGAGCGTCAAGTTTGGGTGGGGGATCGCAAAACCAGCCCACGCAACGAGTGCTCGGCGAGTTTTAAAATCATGCCGAGTGAAACTCGCCTCAGCTCGGACGAGTGATTTTCACGGAAAATCAAACTCGTCACTCGCCCTCGAACGAGTGCCTCATACGAGCCGAGGCGAAAAGCTCGCCTCGTTGCACATGTATCGCACCAAGTATGTCCCAGTGGGTAGTTCCTCAGCTCTTGTCTTAGAGGTTAACGGTTCAAATCCCAGCACTTGCACTTTCCCCTCTCATTATGCTCACCATGTCACGTCCATACTCCACCACAGTCACCCACAGTGAAGTGTGGTCACAATTGGCGTTGCCATCTGTGTACCTTCATCCGATGCTCACCTTGCTGGCCCCTATGGTGTGCCACATGTTGCCATGTAGGCCGTTGTTCCAGCCTGGCTCACATGTGCAACATGTGGCCTCACTTCCTAGCCTAGCAATGTTGGCTAGCCTTACCCTCAAATTTGAGGTGCTGCAGCTAGCCTCAAGAGTTCAGCCATATATATATGGCTTCACTACTTCCCTAGAACTCATCCTTGGAAAATGACATTGCTCTAGTCTCTAAGGATAGTACTAAGGATGTATTTTCAGTCTCATTGTGCCCTGAAGTTCACCGATCCATTTTCTACAATGACCATGTCTTTAGAAATTTTGTAAAAACACAATCATGTAAAACAAATGTGACTATAATGAATGCTAATGGTCGAATCGAACCGAACTAGTTTGAGCCGAACCAAAAAAGATCCGACCACCCCTCTTGACTGGTTCGGCCAGATCTCTGGCCGGTTCGTTTCGATTCGAACCGGTTGGGTTTGGCACTGAACCAGTTCAATTAGTAGAGTAAAATAACAGAACCGGCTCAATTCGGTTGGTTGCTCATGTCCATGCCCTACTTACAAGTCAACATTTGAGTGATTATTTGCTATGCCTCTGCTTCTTCCCTTTTTAATCTCAGGGATCTTTCGAGGAACCAACTTTCAGGCAGCATTCCTTCTACTGTTAGTGCCCTTGCTCAGCTCACTCTCCTGTAAGTCGCACATACCATCTTATGCAATATAAGCCCACATGAATGCTCACCATATCATCAGCCAGGTAGATTGGTATGAAGGAAATTAGTTCAGGTATTAGGTAGGTACAAGGATGAAAAATACGGTTTCCGTAAAATACGGTCTGTATTTTACGATCGTATTTTACGGTCAGATTTCAAAAATTCGACCGTATTTTTGTTAGAGATTTTTTTTTCTGCTAGAAAAAAAAAAATCATACTTGCTACCAACCACCTCTAGGGATGTGAGAAGTAGTGAGATTGCTAACTATCAGGCCTAAAATGGTCTACAACGGATCTATGCCTCGCTCCCCTATGATCCTCAAGACAATAGGCGTGCGTCCCGCCTTGTGCGGTTAGAATATTAGTAGAAAAGCGAGTAAGAACGTTTTGGCGAGGGAAATAGTACTCGCGAGTATTTTAACTCGTTGCATTCTTGACCCCTGCGCGACGTGGCAGCGGGGGTTCATAATCGCATAGGCTAACTCGTCACTTCACGTTTCTACATGTCGAAATGTCAGCAAATCTCAATCACGAAACATTTGCATCCCAATTTTTCCAGCTCATGCACTCCCTCCAACCGCTCTAAATCCCACTCCCTCTACCTAACCCAACCCAACCTTTCAAACATTTCTACCTTGAGACTGGGTGAGATCTAGAACTCACTCGTACCTATTCTGCCGTGACACATTTCCCCATCGCAATAGCGACTGGAATATCGCGATTTCCTACTAATACGGTCCTAATTATTCCCCCCTTTCCCACTTTAAAAGAGAGGCTTCGCTCAAGGGGGTCCCCCTGCAATTTCTTTTTACACCAAAGTGTTGTTTGGTACTTTGCTGGGAGCGCATGAGAGCGCATACACCAAACGAAACAATGCATGGGAGCGCATACCCGAACCCTTGTTCGGTTCGACTCGAACTTGTTTGCACACAGCATCTAAGCCCATTCCTACCCCCCACACCATTTCGCCTTTATTTTTTCGTGCATGTGGGAGTGACGTGGGAACCTTCCAGGTGAGGATGAGTACGAGCGAACTTGATCTTGTTCGACTCGAACATGTTCGAGTCGAACCGAACAGAGGTTCGCCCTTATGCTCATCCCTACCTAGAAGGTTCCCACCCCAATCCTACATGCTGGCAAGAAAGGGCTTAAACAAAAAGAAAACATGAAGAGGTTAAAAACGGAACCAAGCCGAACCCGAACTTGTTCGAGTCGAACATATTGACGGTCGAACATTGAATATTCAGTACAGTTGCAAAAACAATGTTCCACCCTAACTATGTTCGGTTGGACCTGTCCCCTTAGGCCGACTTGAGTCGGGTACGGGTCAGGTTGGGTCGGGTAGGGGTGAGCAAGGGGCGAACACGAACACAGCCGTTCGTCAATCCGAACACTGTTCGGTTCGGCGAACACTTTTAGCAAAAAAGGGTGTTCGGTGTTCGCTTGTGAAGGTGTGTTCGGGCGAACCTCGAACACGTTCGTGTTCGACGCGGGGCAAATTGCAGCAGCGGCCCGAACACGAACGTGTTCGGGCGAACCTCGAACACGTTTGTCACGAACACTTTAAGCAATTGAAACGAACAGGTGTTCGTTTATTTGCTCAGCCCTAGGGTCGGGTCGTAGTCGGGTCAGTGGCGGGCCGGCTGTGACCCGAGGGAGGGTCGGGTTGACCGAGCGTCAAGGCAATCCGAGCTGAAAGCGAGGGATCTGATAATCCCGCTCATCTGCAGTGACGCCCGATGCTCAAGGCTAGTTCAAACCAAACTCGAACTTGTTAGACTCAAACAGTCGAACACCACACTCCTGAAAAGTGTTCTACTCGAACGGAACTTGTTCAGTTCAACTTCAAGTGTTCGAACCAGTTCGAGTCAACCATTATTGAGTGAAATTTTGCTCATGCCTAGTCCTGCCCTACCTAACCTGGTCAGCCCACCTGAACCATTATTTCAAACCTCAACCAAAGTGTTGTTTGGTACTTTGCTCAACCCTAGTGTCGTGTGCCTTCAGCAATGCATTCTTAACCACCTCTTTCTGCCACATTGTGAAATTTCGTTTGGTTAATCCTACCCTAGCCCACCAACTGATTAACTCTGTCCAGGTCTAGGAAGCAGAGACGCCTTTGACAACGGTTTTTTCCAAGGCACTTCGCCTCCTTAATCGTGCCCCTGCTGACTTTGGCATTCCGTTTTTGCCTTTGTCTCATTCTCACATTCCATCATATCTTCATCACGTTTCACTTCAGTTATCTTTATGATAATCAACTGACTGGCTCTATCCCTGCGGAGGTTGGCTCATTGAGGAAGTTGGTGCACTTGTAAGCATTTTGTGCATCAGATGCACGACTCTCTTGTTCCGTCTTTGTCTCCTGTCGAGCAACCATCTTTCCCTCCAAGCGCCCCATTTCAACTCACACCCCTCTTTGCCATCCACTCTTTCTTTTGCTGTCGTCACCCTACTACATTGTTGCTGGTTATTAATTGAGAAACTCTAGCCATAGCAAGGCAATAGAAGATTATAATTAGTTTGACTTTTGAATGAAGATTAGAAGGCAAGTAATGAAATATCACAGTAGTGTGCCTCCTGCAATGCCTTCTTTAGCACCTCAGTTTGCCCCCTTTCCGACCTAGCCCACTATTACAGTCGTGTGGCATTCTGTTTCCCTAATGGATAACATATGCTAGCCCACTAACTCGTTCTTTTGACCATTTAACTCTGCACAACTTTGGGGAAGCAGAGACGCTTTTTGGAAGAGTTTCTTTAAAACAATTAGCCTCCACTTTCGTGCCCCTGATGAAAGTCACTTGTGAAGCACCCATTTTACACCCCTTCCCTCATTTAGTGTTATGCATGGATTTACTGTGACGTAAATGTGGTGCTACATTTAGTGGGCAACGTCGACTTGGGCGAGCAGGTTGACGGACTTGGTCGACGTGCACGGAGTCATTGCGAAACCGTTGACGACGGGGAGCCGGCGGCCGACTTCGACCGGTGGTCGACGAAGGGACTCGTTGACCAGGGAGGGGCGCTGACTTGAAGGCGCCGACCTTGGGAGGCCGACTTGGCGAAGTCGGCGGATAACCTCACGGTGGTAAACGGGGGGTTTGTCGATTTGTGGAGTGACCGACTTGGTGAAGTCGGCGGGTGGCCGTCGACCTGGGCGGTCGACGAGCATGTACAGTAGATGGTCGACTTTTACCGCGCAAGTCGACGCCAACTTGGTGGTTTCCTGGTCGACCAACTTACCAGGGTGATGAGATTCTGCGAAGTGCGCGACCGTCGCCCAAGAGGTTTTGGCAAAGCCGACCTCGAAGTGGTATCCCGAGGTGGACGTGGCTCATCAGGCGTCGCCAATGATACAGTAGCTGACCTGGCACCTGCGCCGTGCACATGACGGTGCACGTCACACCAACCGTCAGCAAGCATCTGCGAAGCTGGCGCGAGCGTGTGCGCTGCTGTCATCTGCGGATGCAACGCTAGACGGCCGCCTTGCTGCAGTGTTGGCAAACCGCCGACTTGCAACGTTGGCAAGTCGCCACCTTACAATGTTGGAGCGCGGTCGACATTGCAATGTTGGAGCGCGGTCGACATGGCAATGTTGGAGCGCGGTCGACATTGCAATGTTGGAGCGCGGTCGACATTGCAATGTTGGAGCGCGGTCGACATTGCAATGTTGGAGCGCGGTCGACATTGCAATGTTGGAGCGCGGTCGACATTGCAATGTTGGAGCGCGGTCGACATTGCAATGTTGGAGCGCGGTCGACATTGCAATGTTGGAGCGCAATCGACATGGCAATGTTGGAGCGCGGTCGACATTGCAATGTTGGAGCGCGGTCGACATTGCAATGTTGGAGCGCGGTCGACTTTGCAATGTTGGAGCGCGGTCGACATTGCAATGTTGGAGCGCGGTCGACATTGCAATGTTGGAGCGCGGTCGACATTGCAATGTTGGAGCGCGGTCGACATTGCAATGTTGGAGCGCGGTCGACATTGCAATGTTGGAGCGCGGTCGACATTGCAATGTTGGAGCGCGGTCGACATTGCAATGTTGGAGCGCGGTCGACATTGCAATGTTGGAGCGCGGTCGACCCTGGTTTCCTTGGCTGCTCTCTTCCCTGCTCTCTTACCCTGGTTTCCTTGGCTGCTCTCTTCCCTGCTCTCTTACCCTGGTTTCCTTGGCTGCTCTCTTCCCTGCTCTCTTACCCTGGTTTCCTTTGCTGCTCTCTTCCCTGCTCTCTTACCCTGGTTTCCTTGGCTGCTCTCTTCCCTGCTCTCTTACCCTGGTTTCCTTGGCTGCTCTCTTCCCTGCTCTCTTACCCTGGTTTCCTTGGCTGCTCTCGTCCCTGCTCTCTTCCCCCTTCTCTTCTATCTTCCTTTCCTCCCAACCCTTCCAACAACCCTGATGGGAAGGAGTGCTGGCCTGTGAACCCCAGGCGAGAAGCTATGTTAAATTCTCATGGAATTTTCGCGCCCACTGTTTTTTACACCAGTGCGTATGGTCTAGCGTAGTGTACATGAACTTTACGTCTTCAGGGAGATTGGGCAGACGCTAAAATACGCTGACCCCAGAGCAGTGCCCGCGGGGCCACGGCTTTGTAAGGTCAGGTAGTTGCGAAAGGGAGAAACCATTAAATGCGATACTGGCCCCGCTGCCTATTGTAGAGTTACGGGAGACTACTGTCAGATTATCATCTTCATTGTAACCTGCATCATCATATAAGCTTTGGTTAGAGATAGGCACCCAAACTTAGTTTGGGTGCACAACTAGGGTTTACCCTAGTTAAGGTTTGGAACCCAACCTTGGCCCAATTATTGGGCCCCCAAGGTAAGGTTGGGAGATTATTGGACCCCCCAATAATATTGACCCACTTTTGGTCAACATTATTGGTCCCCCCAATAATTCCTCAACCTAACTTATTGGTGGGGGCCAATAATGTTGGCATGGCTCCTACATCCTAGCTCAACTATGTAAACCCATGCCCTTCCTAATGAAACTATCGGTTCTTCTTCAAACTTTCTCACAACTACATGGACAGGAAACCCGAGTTCTGTCAAGTACGTAGAGTCCTTGGAGTGGACGGGTTAAGGTCGGATTGATAGAAGCTGTGGAATGGTTGGTTTGGGTAAAAGGGTTTGGGAAAAGGGGTGCAAATTTTGCTTCTACGAATTGCTGACATTCTGCTGTAGATTGAAGTCTTCTAGAGCTTGAAAGGAAGGCAGGAGAAGTTTCAGTGACATATTGTGTTGTGAATGAAGGATATTAAGCTTCAGGTGGGGTTGGGTTGGATAGGGGTGGACATGGTCAGGTCGACCCCACCAGAGGAGCGACCTGGCCTGGCCAAAACCCCAGGTCTGTTCAGGTCGGGTCGGGTCAGGTGTATTCTCTTTTCCATCACGATCTCACTGCTTTCTCCTGACCTATCCAGTTTTATGATCCATATTTCTCAGAAAGAATCATCAGTATTCCTCTCCTCATCCTACGGCAGGACCTCTAGAGACTCATCTTGTTGGGCAAATCTGTCCGACTAACGTATGTGCTCGCCCATAGTAAAACCCCGTCTTCTGTTTCTTTCTTGTTGCATATGGACACAATGACAGGTCCCTTCTACGTAACCAGCTCACGGGCTCAATCCCTGCAGAGATTGGCTCATTATCTCTTCTGAAATACCTGTAAGGCTCCTCTCTGCCGCATGAGCATAAGTCCAGGCCGTGATGAGCCGGCGGCACAACGAACCGGGCCGGCAGCTCACCCGGCTAGGGATGAGCAAGGGGCGAACACGAACGTGTTCGCGTTCGCCCCTACACGAACACCTTCGTTTGCCGAACCGAACACTGTTCATTTCGGCGAACACTTTGAGCAAAAAATGGTGTTCGCCGTTCGTCTGTGAAGGCGTGTTCGGGCGAACCTCGAACACGTTCGTGTTCGTCGCGGGCAAATTGCAGCAGCGGCCCAAACACGAACGTGTTCGGGCGAACATCGAACACTGTTCGGCGAACAATTTAAGCAAAAAAAAAATACCTGTTCGGTTTTTTGCTCAACCCTACACCCGGCTCGTGGCTCGTCCGTCATGGGCGAGTTGGTTGAGCCAGGACGAGCTGGCTCCTACTTTTACGAGCCGACGGATACTCCTGGATGAACAATGCTCGTCGTCACCATCTCTTGAATACGTCCGGATCTGGCATCTGCCTGCCAGATCCACGCGCACAGAGTTCAGACTTATGCTCATTTGCACTCCCTACTATCTCGCTTTCTTGAAAGTCCCACACAAGTACGCAAGAATCGAAGTACCATACATGCGAGCCAATACGATGTTATGGAGATATGTCCACATGCATGCTCACCATATCAGCCAGCTAGATTGGTAATCTAGAAAAATAAGTCAGGTTGTTAGATACAAGTAGGGATGTGTAAAATACCTAACCTGGCCCGATTCTGATTAAACCCATTGGGTATTTCATTTCTACCCGTTAAGCTCTTTGATGCGGCCGCTTGATGGGTTACACGGGTCCCATTTCACGTTCTCGAAGTCAATCTGCTTTCTCCATACTACCCTAGATTCCTTAACCATTTTCAGGAAAACTCATCAGCATTCGTCTTGTTGTGCTATGTGATCTCTGGGGGCTCAAAATTTTGGGCAAATCCCTTTCTCCTCCGTTTGACACGAGCCAATGCCATTGCTTTTCCATGTTAGAACCCCACGATTTGGTTCTTCCTTTGTGCATTCAAACGCAACGACAGGTCCCTTAGGAGTAATCAGCTCACGGGTTCCATCCCTGCGGAAATTGGATCAGTACCATCTCTCTTATCACTGTAAGGCTCCCCTCTGCCACTTGAGAAAAAGTCTGGGTCGAGCCGGCTCTCCTTGAGCCGTCGTGAGCCGGCGTGCTGACAAGCCGAGCCGGAGACTCGGCTCACTGAGCCAGAGACTCGGCTTGATGATCTGGGCTTGCAGGTGACCCGCCGTAGCTCGTAGCTCATCCGTCGTTCGTGAGCTGGTCGAGCAGGGACGACCTTCCTCCGACTATTCTCCCAGCCGGCCAGTACTGCCCGATGGCAGTGTTAGTCGCCGTCACCCAAATACGCGCGAAGGTCTAGCATTTCCCCTCTAGGTCCACGTGGACGGTTGTACCATTGACACTCAAGGTCTTGACAAGCCTCTCAAGGTTTGGCGACTGCCGGGTCTTCCACGAGCCCGGCTCATCGAGCCATCGGCCAAGACGGCGGAACAGGATTTTTGCTTGACACGCCTTGCCAACAAGCGGAACCGTCGGCTCAGACTTATGCTCATGTGTACTCCGTCCCTGCTTCCTCTATCTCGTCTCCTGACTTCCTCACCACCGTACCTCTACATTTCTTTCCCATATCTGCCTCCATCCTATTCAGGCATGAGCATAAAGCCAAACTGCTGTTCAGTTTGATGCGAATCAAACCGTGGCTCGTTTTGCTGCCAGTTTGAGTCAAAAACCTATTCATTTGACGGGTTCGATCGGTTCGACTATCTTACACTTATTTCCCCCCCCACCCCCTCTTCCCCCCCCCCCCTCCCCCCCAAAACCCCCAACTTTTAGAGCATGCTCGTGGACTTTAGGTAACCAAAGTGTCAACTGACTCTGGGGAAGAAAACCGTGTTGTGAGGGCTAGTGTGCGGTTAGGTTAGGGCTGGTTGATTCGAACCTGGATTGTTTCGAACCAAACCGATTCTGGTTCGATTTAAGCTTCCCAATCCGACCCATAATAGTCGAAGTTCGAACCGGGCAATCCTCTTTCTGGTTCGACTCAAGTAGGTTTGGTTTGGTAGATTGTTCATGCGTTCCGTTTCTTATCCTGGTCTGGTCCTGCAAATTCCCAACACAAATGGACTCTTTTTTTTTTTCCCATGCATCCAACCCCCACACAACCAACAGCACTCTCGAAGCCAACATGTTGTCAGGATCTGTGCCCTCCTCGATCACAAAGCTCACTGGTCTTTCTTTCTTGTAACTTGGTTCCACTTCCACTTGAGTAATAGTCGACCCGTCCCAACCCGACTCGTCCCGACTCAGCCAGTCAGGACTCGGCCAGGGGTGGGTCGGGCTGAGGAATTCTTCGACCGACCTGCTTTAAGGGGTCAGGCTTTGCTCATGTCTAATCTCATGCCACTACCAGCGTCTAACCTACCTTCTCACCCGTTTGTTCATCTCCTTGCACATCTCTCTGCCCTCCTCCCCCCCAACCCCCCCCATCATGTGACTCTTGCCTCCTTGTCTTGGACAGTTCCCTCTCTACCAACCAGCTCACCAACTCCATCCCCACTGACATTGGCTTGCTATCAAAGCTGGTAACCTTGTAAGTAGGGATGAGGTTCGGCCCGGGTTGAACCGGGCCGGGGCGGCATAAAATACCGGGTGACTGGTCTAGTCCGACCCGGGCTGGCCGAGCAGTCCCTTGGCCTGGGTTCGGCCATGAGTAGCCCGGGCCGAAAAAGGTACGACCAACCGAGGCCGGTTTGAGTTTGGCCCGGGTCACTTTCCCGAGGCTGGTATTGTAACAAGTGTCCTAGGGCCTGCGGACATACATTTTGTAAGTTCTAGACATGGCAAACAGAATATCCAATCATACAGTCACGACTCACAAGTAGGCAATGCCTTCTAGGCATGAGCATGGGCGGAACCTGGTTCGGCCCGCGCCGAACCTGGCTGGACCGTCCAAAAAACTGGTCCAAACCAGGTTTGGCCCACACCGGGCTGGCGGAGAAAATCCACGGTAGGGCTTCGGCCATATGGTAACGTAAGTTTAGGGTAACGTGTTCGTTCGCCACAAACACATTTGAACACAAACGTGTTTGTGTTCGACACGGCTCGGCCATCCGCGATGAATCGATTACGAACATATTCGACCCGAACATACAAGGCCAAAAAATAAACCTGTTCGGTTTGCCTTTAAGATGTTTCAGGCAAACCGAACAGTATTCGTCAGTCTGCTAAGGCCTAGTTCAAAATTCCCCTTGTTCCAGTTGGCAACATTTCGTCGTGCATAAACACGAATTGTAGCAAAATAACAAAGGTTCTGACCAGCCAGCCACTATAAGATTCTAACCCCCGCTGGCAAGTCATGGTGGGGTTCATGTTACGAGTAAAATTGTATTTGCGTTGCGAATATTTTATTCCTCGCGAGCAAGTTTCCACTGCTCTTCGAAGCGAGTAAAGAACGAGAACTCGTTTACTCGCGAGTAAGGTCCGCCTTGCCTTGAACTAGTAGTTTTGCCGAGGCGCCGAGTCGTTACTTGCCCAAATCGAGGAAACGAAGTGAAGCAAGTAAAAAAACTAAACTCATTGCCCATGTCCACCACTAGGGGTCGGACAAACCAGAACAGCTTTGGGTCGAACCACCTTGAGAACCCTCCCTCTGTTACCTGGGCTGATTGGGTTAGAACGAACTGGTGTCGACTCCCACTCAAACTAGGCTTGGGCAAAAGACCCGAACGGGTCAGGTCCTTATATTGGGATTGACTACCAGGGTGGGTCGAGTAGTGTATACCCGGGCGGGTACAAAATACCCGATGCCCGTCCCGGGTTTCCAAAGTCGGATATGTGATACCCGTCCAAAACAAACATATTTCTACTTGTAATGAATAAAACTAATAGAAGGGTATTCATGTATACCCGACCCGACCTCGGGTATCCTCGACCCGACTGCGGGTCAGGGATACTCGAGAGGTAATGGGCGGGTCAAGTCAACATCCTTGGCCCAAATACCCGGGGTCGGGTATACCCGACCCTAGGGATGAGCAAGGGGCGAACACGAACGTGTTCGCGTTCGCCCCAGCTCGAACACTGCCGTTTGGCGAACCGAACACTGTTCGGTTTGCCGAACACCTTTCACAAAAAATGGTCTTCGATGTTCGCCTGTGAGGGCGAACATCTTGCATGCTAAGGCGAACACGAACGCGTTGGGGGCGAACACGTTCGTGTTCGCTCCTGGGCCATCCTTCGTTACGCTCGAAATACGCAACGGCGGGCAGGGAAATTGCGGGAAACTGGGGGAAAATATCTAGGCTGGATCAGCATTTTGCGAGATCTAGTTACGGATCCATAGTTTTTTTTTATCCAGCTCGCCACCTGGATTTCCCCCCACGTAAGGCGAAATCCCCCCCTTTTATATCTACGAAATTTGCGATTGCTCGCCAACCCCCCACAACCCCCCAACTCACGAAATATGCGAACGCTATTCCTCTCAATCCCATGCATACGAAATTTGCGAATGCTACCCCCAACCCTCAACTTACAAGATTCTGCGGTATCCCTGTCTAGTCTTTTCCCGAAAACCTAAATCTCGCATACCCAAGTCTAGACAGACTAACCTAAGGTAACTACTTAATTACGCTAAGTCCTACTGAGGTGATAACGGCGTGATGTGTGGGGGGTATGGTAGTAATGGCTGCTGCTGAATAGCGCGACTAAGTTTGAGCTCAAATTTGAGCTCAAACAAAATGTCCCGCAACGTAAATTGTAGATCGCGGGATAGTCGCGTCGAACACATTCGTGTTCGTTTTTTCCCCGAAACGAACACGAACGCGTTCGTGTTCGACGCGGCTTGGCAGCAGTAGCGGGGCGAACACCGAACGTGTTCGGGCGAACACCGAACGTGTTCGGGCGAACACCGAACATGTTCGCCCCGAACATTTTTAGCCAAAAAAAAAAATCCTGTTTGGTTCTCCTCGAACACGTTCGAGGCGAACCGAACAGGTGTTCGTCTCCATGCTCATCCCTACCCGACCCGCACCCGAACCCGACCTCGGGTCGGCCTAAACGGGTTGGGTCGGGTTGGGTTGGGCTAATGCCCATGCGTAACTCAAACTGGACGCGGTCTGTGACAATATTAAAACAAATGCTATACTAAAACAAATGCTAGGTCGGATCGAACCGTACTAGTTTGAGCTGAACCTGTAGAAAAGCAGACCTGTATGCACACTTTGCAGAATGAAAAGCAGGTTTAGAAATGCTAAAAGGTTTTTTCAAAGAGTATATAAATTATAGTGATGGATACAAGCAAAACATAAGCCAAATTCGGCAGAGAACGAAGAAAGCTAGCTTGGAGGCGACTTAGGCTGGTCCGGGTGAGGAATTTGGTACTCAGGCCAAGGGAGTTGGGGTGGCCAAATAAATCTCAAGTCGCCCACTGTCAAGATGAGGAGGTGAGGGACCCTCAAAGTGGGTTTGAAAGCGCCCCCTCTAGTGGAACCGCAATTCCACGAGTTGGAAACGCAAGTTCCAAGCTGGAAACACATTTCCAATGTTGAAATTCATGGGCCCAGGCTTGCGCCCCCAAGGTTGAGAAACGTGCTGAGGTGCCCCAAAGCCGAATTTGGGGTGCCTAGCACTTGATAAAGTCACTCAGGGGGCACCCTAGAGCTAGTATAACCCAACACCTATTGTCGACACTATTAACGGGAGTTGGGTGTTGGCCCCGTCCTCGCATGGTCGAAGCCGACTTCGTGGTCAGGTGCGCGGGGGGTGCAGCCGACCGTCTGCAGTGGGCGATGCCGACTTGGGCGAGCAGGTTGATGGACTTGGTCGACCTGCACGGGGCCACTGCGAAGCCGCCGACGACGGGGAGCTGGCGGCCGACTTCGACCGGTGGTCGACGAAGGGACTCGTCGACCAGGGAGGGGTGGCGACTTGAAGGCGCCGACCTTGGGAGGCCGACTTGGAGAAGTCGGCGGACATCCTCACGGCGGTCGACGAGGGGCTCTTCGACCTGTGGAGTGACCGACTTGGTGAAGTCGGCGGGTGGCCGTCGGCCTGGGTGGTCGACGAGCACGTACAGTAGTTGGTCGACTTTTACCGCGCAAGTCGACGCCGACTTGGTGGTTTCCTGGTCGACCAACTTACCAGGGCGATGAGATTCAGCGGAATGCGCGACCGTTGCCCAGGAGGTTTTGGCGAAGCCGACCTCGGAGTGGTATTCCGAGGTCAACGTGGCTCATCAGGCGCCGCCAACGGCACGTAGCCGACCTGGCACCTGCGCCGTGCACATGACGGTGCACATCGCACCAACCATCTGCAAGCATCTGCGAAGCTATCCCGAGTGTGTGCGCTGCTGTCATCTGTGGATGCAACGTTGGACGACCGCCTTGCTGCAGCGTTGGTAAGCCGCCGACTTGCAACGTTGGCAAGTCGCCACCTTGCAATATTGGAGCGCGGTCGACATTGCAGTGCTGGCGGTCGCCGACTTTGTTGTGCTGGAGGTCGACCTGCCTGTGTGCTAAGCATACTTGCGTCTGATGTAGTCAGTGTTGTTTTGCCTTGTTCAACAATTGTTATGAACTTTTGCTAGTGAAACTCTTGCGGTTTTGCCGCGTGAACGCACAAGTGCTAGGGAACACTAAGGAACGTTAGGATCACTCACACAACCGTGCCTTCTCCGTAGTCTAGCTTCCACCGTTGTTGAGTTGATCTCCTCATGGTGCGGTGAGCGTGGACGGCCCCGCAAAGATACTTCTGGAATGTAGGTGCACCTTACCTAATTCGTTTGTAGGCTGGCATCCGTCTTAGGCGCCATGGTAGGCCACGAGGCCGAGGCAGGCGTAGCGGATACCCTGCAGGCGAGGGAGGGTGAGGTGACGAGACGACACGCCAACAACGAGTACGGAGGAGCGAGTCTGGAGGTGATGCTCCCTGGGAACTCGCGTGTAGTGGGCGAGCGAGCATCCTCCTCCCAGTGCAGGGCCAACACCCTATTCCCGTCGACAAGTAGGGCAAGGTTCAGCACGGTTGGACTGGGCTAGGCCGGCAAAAGATCTGGACGACAAGTTCGGCCCCAATCCGGGCTGGCCGAGCAGTCCCTAAGCCCGGGTTCGGCCATGAGTACCCCGGGCCGAGAAAGATTCGTCCAAACCGGTTCGAGTTCAGCCCCGGCCACTTTCCCCGGGCTGGTTTGTCGGATTCAACATGTATGCCGTGGTGGGTTCCCGTGCCGACCTCGCATATAGCGCTGGAGTTCTTGCTCGTCACCTTCACGATTGGTCTACTTCTCATGTGTCAACCGCCAAACGTATTGGGCGCTACTTGAAAGGGACTACCTCCCTCGGGCTTCTCCGTGATGGCGTTCCCATCGCCCTTGAACTTCATGGGTGGGTGGTGTGGTGCATCTTGGGGACCAGAGGGGGAGCTCCGACGCTACGTTACGTGCTACTTGTTCTTCCTTGGCCCGCCACTCATTTGTTGGCAATCCAAACACAAAGCTGTCGTGGCTACTTCTTAGTGTGAAGATAAATGTTATTACAAAGCGTTATGGTTTTGTTCACTCTTTACTGCCCTTGGGCTTCCACCGGCCGGCCACACCCGCATCACATGTGACAACAACAGTGCCACCATTCTCGCCAAGGAAGATTGCGTTTTTTATCTCAAGGCCAAGCAAATCGACATCAAGGACCACATTTTTCGTGATCATGTTGCTGATCACTCCGTCACCCTTCACTACGTTCCTACCGAAGACAACCTCGCTGGCATTGGCACCAAGGCCTTACCTCGTGATCCATTTCTTTGCATTCGTGCTCTTATCGGTCTCAACTATGTCTCCGTTTGAAGAGGCCTACCCGGGGACATCCTTGAGGGGTGGTGTTGTGCACCAAGTATACATGTGCTAAGCAACGAGCCTAGTTTCACTCGGCTCGTCCCTGGCACACTCGTACGAGTAATGTCACAAGCCGAGTTTAGCTCGTCCGAGTTTTTTCAAGGGAAACTCAAGCTCGTGACTCGTCTCTTATCACGAGCTTTTTAAAAGCTCGTCCGAGCTTAGGGTTAAGCAAGAGGCGAACACGAACATGTTTGTGTTCGCCCAGGGCGAACATGTCACTTGAGCGAACCGAACACTGTTCGGTCTGCCGCGAATACTTCATAAGAAAATGGTTGTTCGCCTGTTCACCTCTAGGGGCGAACACCCCTATGTTCGCCCCGAGCACGAACACGTTCTTGGCGAACATGTTCATGCTCGACTTCTCAACAGCCGTGGGATGGGCGAAATGGGCTTCTAGTAATGATACGGGCGTTGGTTTCAGCAAGAGGAGATGCTATGGTGTGTGAAGTTTAGGGTTTTTGCTGGTTTCTGCCCTAAAACGCCCCGAACACAAGGCGAACACGAACTTGTTCGTGTTCGGCGTGGCTTGGCTTGCCGCGACGAACCGAACACGAACATGTTCGGGCGAACACCGATCATGTTCGCCCCGAACACTTTTGGCCAAAGATAGCAAAAGTGTTCGGTTCGCCCCGAACATGTTCAAGGCGAACCGAACAGGTGTTCGCCCTTGTGGTCATGTCTATCGGAGCTTAGCTCGGCTTGTTGCCCTATACCAGCATGTACATGCCTAATTTTGTAATGAGATACCCTACAACCATCAAATAAATATGCCCATATCCAGACCAGGTCTTTCGCGCTGGAGAGCGTCAAGTTTGGGTGGGGGATCGCAAAACCAGCCCACGCAACGAGTGCTCGGCGAGTTTTAAAATCATGCCGAGTGAAACTCGCCTCAGCTCGGACGAGTGATTTTCACGGAAAATCAAACTCGTCACTCGCCCTCGAACGAGTGCCTCATACGAGCCGAGGCGAAAAGCTCGCCTCGTTGCACATGTATCGCACCAAGTATGTCCCAGTGGGTAGTTCCTCAGCTCTTGTCTTAGAGGTTAACGGTTCAAATCCCAGCACTTGCACTTTCCCCTCTCATTATGCTCACCATGTCACGTCCATACTCCACCACAGTCACCCACAGTGAAGTGTGGTCACAATTGGCGTTGCCATCTGTGTACCTTCATCCGATGCTCACCTTGTTGGCCCCTATGGTGTGCCACATGTTGCCATGTAGGCCGTTGTTCCAGCCTGGCTCACATGTGCAACATGTGGCCTCACTTCCTAGCCTAGCAATGTTGGCTAGCTTTACCCTCAAATTTGAGGTGCTGCAGCTAGCCTCAAGAGTTCAGCCATATATATATGGCTTCACTACTTCCCTAGAACTCATCCTTGGAAAATGACATTGCTCTAGTCTCTAAGGATAGTACTAAGGATGTATTTTCAGTCTCATTGTGCCCTGAAGTTCACCGATCCATTTTCTACAATGACCATGTCTTTAGAAATTTTGTAAAAACACAATCATGTAAAACAAATGTGACTATAATGAATGCTAATGGTCGAATCGAACCGAACTAGTTTGAGCCGAACCAAAAAAGATCCGACCACCCCTCTTGACTGGTTCGGCCAGATCTCTGGCCGGTTCGTTTCGATTCGAACCGGTTGGGTTTGGCACTGAACCAGTTCAATTAATAGAGTAAAATAACAGAACCGGCTCAATTCGGTTGCTTGCTCATGTCCATGCCCTACTTACAAGTCAACATTTGAGTGATTATTTGCTATGCCTCTGCTTCTTCCCTTTTTAATCTCAGGGATCTTTCGAGGAACCAACTTTCAGGCAGCATTCCTTCTACTGTTAGTGCCCTTGCTCAGCTCACTCTCCTGTAAGTCGCACATACCATCTTATGCAATATAAGCCCACATGAATGCTCACCATATCATCAGCCAGGTAGATTGGTATGAAGGAAATTAGTTCAGGTATTAGGTAGGTACAAGGATGAAAAATACGGTTTCCGTAAAATACGGTCTGTATTTTACGATCGTATTTTACGGTCAGATTTAAAAATTCGACCGTATTTTTGTTAGAGATTTTTTTTTCTGCTAGAAAAAAAAAAATCATACTTGCTACCAACCACCTCTAGGGATGTGAGAAGTAGTGAGATTGCTAACTATCAGGCCTAAAATGGTCTACAACGGATCTATGCCTCGCTCCCCTATGATCCTCAAGACAATAGGCGTGCGTCCCGCCTTGTGCGGTTAGAATATTAGTAGAAAAGCGAGTAAGAACGTTTTGGCGAGGGAAATAGTACTCGCGAGTATTTTAACTCGTTGCATTCTTGACCCCTGCGCGACGTGGCAGCGGGGGTTCATAATCGCATAGGCTAACTCGTCACTTCACGTTTCTACATGTCGAAATGTCAGCAAATCTCAATCACGAAACATTTGCATCCCAATTTTTCCAGCTCATGCACTCCCTCCAACCGCTCTAAATCCCACTCCCTCTACCTAACCCAACCCAACCTTTCAAACATTTCTACCTTGAGACTGGGTGAGATCTAGAACTCACTCGTACCTATTCTGCCGTGACACATTTCCCCATCGCAATAGCGACTGGAATATCGCGATTTCCTACTAATACGGTCCTAATTATTCCCCCCTTTCCCACTTTAAAAGAGAGGCTTCGCTCAAGGGGGTCCCCCTGCAATTTCTTTTTACACCAAAGTGTTGTTTGGTACTTTGCTGGGAGCGCATGAGAGCGCATACACCAAACGAAACAATGCATGGGAGCGCATACCCGAACCCTTGTTCGGTTCGACTCGAACTTGTTTGCACACAGCATCTAAGCCCATTCCTACCCCCCACACCATTTCGCCTTTATTTTTTCGTGCATGTGGGAGTGACGTGGGAACCTTCCAGGTGAGGATGAGTACGAGTGAACTTGATCTTGTTCGACTCGAACATGTTCGAGTCGAACCGAACAGAGGTTCGCCCTTATGCTCATCCCTACCTAGAAGGTTCCCACCCCAATCCTACATGCTGGCAAGAAAGGGCTTAAACAAAAAGAAAACATGAAGAGGTTAAAAACGGAACCAAGCCGAACCCGAACTTGTTCGAGTCGAACATATTGACGGTCGAACATTGAATATTCAGTACAGTTGCAAAAACAATGTTCCACCCTAACTATGTTCGGTTGGACCTGTCCCCTTAGGCCGACTTGAGTCGGGTACGGGTCAGGTTGGGTCGGGTAGGGGTGAGCAAGGGGCGAACACGAACACAGCCGTTCGTCAATCCGAACACTGTTCGGTTCGGCGAACACTTTTAGCAAAAAAGGGTGTTCGGTGTTCGCTTGTGAAGGTGTGTTCGGGCGAACCTCGAACACGTTCGTGTTCGACGCGGGGCAAATTGCAGCAGCGGCCCGAACACGAACGTGTTCGGGCGAACCTCGAACACGTTTGTCACGAACACTTTAAGCAATTGAAACGAACAGGTGTTCGTTTATTTGCTCAGCCCTAGGGTCGGGTCGTAGTCGGGTCAGTGGCGGGCCGGCTGTGACCCGAGGGAGGGTCGGGTTGACCGAGCGTCAAGGCAATCCGAGCTGAAAGCGAGGGATCTGATAATCCCGCTCATCTGCAGTGACGCCCGATGCTCAAGGCTAGTTCAAACCAAACTCGAACTTGTTAGACTCAAACAGTCGAACACCACACTCCTGAAAAGTGTTCTACTCGAACGGAACTTGTTCAGTTCAACTTCAAGTGTTCGAACCAGTTCGAGTCAACCATTATTGAGTGAAATTTTGCTCATGCCTAGTCCTGCCCTACCTAACCTGGTCAGCCCACCTGAACCATTATTTCAAACCTCAACCAAAGTGTTGTTTGGTACTTTGCTCAACCCTAGTGTCGTGTGCCTTCAGCAATGCATTCTTAACCACCTCTTTCTGCCACATTGTGAAATTTCGTTTGGTTAATCCTACCCTAGCCCACCAACTGATTAACTCTGTCCAGGTCTAGGAAGCAGAGACGCCTTTGACAACGGTTTTTTCCAAGGCACTTCGCCTCCTTAATCGTGCCCCTGCTGACTTTGGCATTCCGTTTTTGCCTTTGTCTCATTCTCACATTCCATCATATCTTCATCACGTTTCACTTCAGTTATCTTTATGATAATCAACTGACTGGCTCTATCCCTGCGGAGGTTGGCTCATTGAGGAAGTTGGTGCACTTGTAAGCATTTTGTGCATCAGATGCACGACTCTCTTGTTCCGTCTTTGTCTCCTGTCGAGCAACCATCTTTCCCTCCAAGCGCCCCATTTCAACTCACACCCCTCTTTGCCATCCACTCTTTCTTTTGCTGTCGTCACCCTACTACATTGTTGCTGGTTATTAATTGAGAAACTCTAGCCATAGCAAGGCAATAGAAGATTATAATTAGTTTGACTTTTGAATGAAGATTAGAAGGCAAGTAATGAAATATCACAGTAGTGTGCCTCCTGCAATGCCTTCTTTAGCACCTCAGTTTGCCCCCTTTCCGACCTAGCCCACTATTACAGTCGTGTGGCATTCTGTTTCCCTAATGGATAACATATGCTAGCCCACTAACTCGTTCTTTTGACCATTTAACTCTGCACAACTTTGGGGAAGCAGAGACGCTTTTTGGAAGAGTTTCTTTAAAACAATTAGCCTCCACTTTCGTGCCCCTGATGAAAGTCACTTGTGAAGCACCCATTTTACACCCCTTCCCTCATTTAGTGTTATGCATGGATTTACTGTGACGTAAATATGGTGCTACATTTAGTGGGCAACGTCGACTTGGGCGAGCAGGTTGACGGACTTGGTCGACGTGCACGGAGTCATTGCGAAACCGTTGACGACGGGGAGCCGGCGGCCGACTTCGACCGGTGGTCGACGAAGGGACTCGTTGACCAGGGAGGGGCGCTGACTTGAAGGCGCCGACCTTGGGAGGCCGACTTGGCGAAGTCGGCGGATAACCTCACGGTGGTAAACGGGGGGTTTGTCGATTTGTGGAGTGACCGACTTGGTGAAGTCGGCGGGTGGCCGTCGACCTGGGCGGTCGACGAGCATGTACAGTAGATGGTCGACTTTTACCGCGCAAGTCGACGCCAACTTGGTGGTTTCCTGGTCGACCAACTTACCAGGGTGATGAGATTCTGCGAAGTGCGCGACCGTCGCCCAAGAGGTTTTGGCAAAGCCGACCTCGAAGTGGTATCCCGAGGTGGACGTGGCTCATCAGGCGTCGCCAATGATACAGTAGCTGACCTGGCACCTGCGCCGTGCACATGACGGTGCACGTCACACCAACCGTCAGCAAGCATCTGCGAAGCTGGCGCGAGCGTGTGCGCTGCTGTCATCTGCGGATGCAACGCTAGACGGCCGCCTTGCTGCAGTGTTGGCAAACCGCCGACTTGCAACGTTGGCAAGTCGCCACCTTACAATGTTGGAGCGCGGTCGACATTGCAATGTTGGAGCGCGGTCGACATGGCAATGTTGGAGCGCGGTCGACATTGCAATGTTGGAGCGCGGTCGACATTGCAATGTTGGAGCGCGGTCGACATTGCAATGTTGGAGCGCGGTCGACATTGCAATGTTGGAGCGCGGTCGACATTGCAATGTTGGAGCGCGGTCGACATTGCAATGTTGGAGCGCGGTCGACATTGCAATGTTGGAGCGCAATCGACATGGCAATGTTGGAGCGCGGTCGACATTGCAATGTTGGAGCGCGGTCGACATTGCAATGTTGGAGCGCGGTCGACTTTGCAATGTTGGAGCGCGGTCGACATTGCAATGTTGGAGCGCGGTCGACATTGCAATGTTGGAGCGCGGTCGACATTGCAATGTTGGAGCGCGGTCGACATTGCAATGTTGGAGCGCGGTCGACATTGCAATGTTGGAGCGCGGTCGACATTGCAATGTTGGAGCGCGGTCGACATTGCAATGTTGGAGCGCGGTCGACATTGCAATGTTGGAGCGCGGTCGACCCTGGTTTCCTTGGCTGCTCTCTTCCCTGCTCTCTTACCCTGGTTTCCTTGGCTGCTCTCTTCCCTGCTCTCTTACCCTGGTTTCCTTGGCTGCTCTCTTCCCTGCTCTCTTACCCTGGTTTCCTTTGCTGCTCTCTTCCCTGCTCTCTTACCCTGGTTTCCTTGGCTGCTCTCTTCCCTGCTCTCTTACCCTGGTTTCCTTGGCTGCTCTCTTCCCTGCTCTCTTACCCTGGTTTCCTTGGCTGCTCTCGTCCCTGCTCTCTTCCCCCTTCTCTTCTATCTTCCTTTCCTCCCAACCCTTCCAACAACCCTGATGGGAAGGAGTGCTGGCCTGTGAACCCCAGGCGAGAAGCTATGTTAAATTCTCATGGAATTTTCGCGCCCACTGTTTTTTACACCAGTGCGTATGGTCTAGCGTAGTGTACATGAACTTTACGTCTTCAGGGAGATTGGGCAGACGCTAAAATACGCTGACCCCAGAGCAGTGCCCGCGGGCCACGGCTTTGTAAGGTCAGGTAGTTGCGAAAGGGAGAAACCGTTAAATGCGATACTGGCCCCGCTGCCTATTGTAGAGTTACGGGAGACTACTGTCAGATTATCATCTTCATTGTAACCTGCATCATCATATAAGCTTTGGTTAGAGATAGGCACCCAAACTTAGTTTGGGTGCACAACTAGGGTTTACCCTAGTTAAGGTTTGGAACCCAACCTTGGCCCAATTATTGGGCCCCCAAGGTAAGGTTGGGAGATTATTGGACCCCCCAATAATATTGACCCACTTTTGGTCAACATTATTGGTCCCCCCAATAATTCCTCAACCTAACTTATTGGTGGGGGCCAATAATGTTGGCATGGCTCCTACATCCTAGCTCAACTATGTAAACCCATGCCCTTCCTAATGAAACTATCGGTTCTTCTTCAAACTTTCTCACAACTACATGAACAGGAAACCCGAGTTCTGTCAAGTACGTAGAGTCCTTGGAGTGGACGGGTTAAGGTCGGATTGATAGAAGCTGTGGAATGGTTGGTTTGGGTAAAAGGGTTTGGGAAAAGGGGTGCAAATTTTGCTTCTACGAATTGCTGACATTCTGCTGTAGATTGAAGTCTTCTAGAGCTTGAAAGGAAGGCGGGAGAAGTTTCAGTGACATATTGTGTTGTGAATGAAGGATATTAAGCTTCAGGTGGGGTTGGGTTGGATAGGGGTGGACATGGTCAGGTCGACCCCACCAGAGGAGCGACCTGGCCTGGCCAAAACCCCAGGTCTGTTCAGGTCGGGTCGGGTCAGGTGTATTCTCTTTTCCATCACGATCTCACTGCTTTCTCCTGACCTATCCAGTTTTATGATCCATATTTCTCAGAAAGAATCATCAGTATTCCTCTCCTCATCCTACGGCAGGACCTCTAGAGACTCATCTTGTTGGGCAAATCTGTCCGACTAACGTATGTGCTCGCCCATAGTAAAACCCCGTCTTCTGTTTCTTTCTTGTTGCATATGGACACAATGACAGGTCCCTTCTACGTAACCAGCTCACGGGCTCAATCCCTGCAGAGATTGGCTCATTATCTCTTCTGAAATACCTGTAAGGCTCCTCTCTGCCGCATGAGCATAAGTCCAGGCCGTGATGAGCCGGCGGCACAACGAACCGGGCCGGCAGCTCACCCGTCTAGGGATGAGCAAGGGGCGAACACGAACGTGTTCGCGTTCGCCCCTACACGAACACCTTCGTTTGCCGAACCGAACACTGTTCATTTCGGCGAACACTTTGAGCAAAAAATGGTGTTCGCCGTTCGTCTGTGAAGGCGTGTTCGGGCGAACCTCGAACACGTTCGTGTTCGTCGCGGGCAAATTGCAGCAGCGGCCCAAACACGAACGTGTTTGGCGAACATCGAACACTGTTCGGCGAACAATTTAAGCCAAAAAATACCTGTTCGGTTCGCCTCGAACACGTTCGAGGCGAACCGAACAGGTGTTCGTTTTTTTGCTCAACCCTACACCCGGCTCGTGGCTCGTCCGTCATGGGCGAGTTGGTTGAGCCAGGACGAGCTGGCTCCTACTTTTACGAGCCGACGGATACTCCTGGATGAACAATGCTCGTCGTCACCATCCCTTGAATACGTCCGGATCTGGCATCTGCCTGCCAGATCCACGCGCACAGAGTTCAGACTTATGCTCATTTGCACTCCCTACTATCTCGCTTTCTTGAAAGTCCCACACAAGTACGCAAGAATCGAAGTACCATACATGCGAGCCAATACGATGTTATGGAGATATGTCCACATGCATGCTCACCATATCAGCCAGCTAGATTGGTAATCTAGAAAAATAAGTCAGGTTGTTAGATACAAGTAGGGATGTGTAAAATACCTAACCTGGCCCGATTCTGATTAAACCCATTGGGTATTTCATTTCTACCCGTAAAGCTCTTCGATGCGGCCGCTTGATGGGTTACACGGGTCCCATTTCACGTTCTCGAAGTCAATCTGCTTTCTCCATACTACCCTAGATTCCTTAACCATTTTCAGGAAAACTCATCAGCATTCGTCTTGTTGTGCTATGTGATCTCTGGGGGCTCAAATTTTTGGGCAAATCCCTTTCTCCTCCGTTTGACACGAGCCAATGCCTTTGCTTTTCCATGTTAAAACCCCACGATTTGGTTCTTCCTTTGTGCATTCAAACGCAACGACAGGTCCCTTAGGAGTAATCAGCTCACGGGTTCCATCCCTGCGGAAATTGGATCAGTACCATCTCTCTTATCACTGTAAGGCTTCCCTCTGCCACATGAGAATAAGTCTGGGTCGAGCCGGCTCTCCTTGAGCCGTCGTGAGCCGGCGTGCTGACAAGCCGAGCCGGAGACTCGGCTCACTGAGCCAGAGACTCGGCTTGATGATCTGGGCTGGCAGGTGACCCGCCGTAGCTCGTAGCTCATCCGTCGTTCGTGAGCTGGTCGAGTAGGGACGAGCTGGCTCCGACTATTCTCCCAGCCGGCCAGTACTGCTCGATGGCAGTGTTAGGGCGTGTAACTTTTTCTCTTTTTGACCGTACGTACCCTATACGAAATTGGTATCCGGATCTCGTCAAAACCCGCATGATCTGCAATTCGATAACGAGCTTGGACGGTACGTACCGTGAGCGGGATACCCTTTTCGCATAGGGTACATACGGTCAAAAAGAGAAAAAGTTACACGCCCTTAGTCGCCGTCACCCAAATACGCGCGAAGGTCTAGCATTTCCCCTCTACACCTATTCTTTTTCATGACTGCCCCACATATCCTACAACTCCTGCTCCCCAACCCCCCCACCACCCAACTTCTTTTACTAAACCCCCTGTTCCCAGTTGTTTTCCCCTGCCCGGGAGTTTTTTTGCCTGCCCGCCAGGGGGGTACCCCTGGGACAGGGGGCGTCAAGAGCGTCAAAACGCTAGCGTTTTGACTCAGAGTCAAAACGCTGAGCGCGTTAAATCCATACCTCTACGTTTCTTTCCCATCTCTGCCTCCATTCTGTTCAGGCATGAGCATAAAACCAAACTGCTGTCCAGTTTGACGCGAATCAAACCGCGGCTCTTTTTTGCCAGCCAGTTTGAGTTAAAAACCTATTCTTCTGTTGGGTTCGATCGTTTCCACTATCTTACACTAATTCCCCCCCCCCCCCCCCCCCCCCCCCCCCCACCCACCCTCTCCACACGTCCCACCCACCTCTTCCCCCCCCCCCCCCCCCCCCCCCCCCCCCCCCCCCCCGGTTCCCTTTCCCTCCCCCCAAAGCCCCCACCTTTTAGAGCATGCTCATGGACTTAAGGTAACCAAAGTGTCAACTGACTCTAGGGAAGAAAACCTTGTTGTGAGGGCTAGTGCTAAGTTGCCAAACACGCTTATAGCGTATATACTCTTATCGTATATACGCTAGCGTATGTACGCTATCCGCGTGAGGGGGGCATTTGGACATACGCTTTTTTCGGGCAGAGAAAACACTTTCCCGGGCAGGGCAAAAAAAAAACCGCCAGGGCTATTATAGGGGGGAAATCTAGGGGGTTATGTTTCAGAGGTAATGTTTTTCCCCATAATAAGATTACCACCCTCGACCCGACCCGAAATCGGGTTTATGATACAGAGTTCGTAGGCTAGACTGCAATAGTGTTGCGCGAATCTGCTCTGCATAGTATAGGAGGAGGCGTAGAAGAGATTGTTGACAGGGAAACCTAGGACGAAGTTGAAATTCGTACCCCACAGTCGCTAATGTTGTCTCCAACCAATCCCCCCTCCCATCACCTATCTTCACCGCATTGCATCTAGAGCATCCAACCAATCTGAGATTTGAAGTTTGTATCACCGTCTCGTCACTTCCAGATCTACAACAATCTTGATCTAGGGAGAGTCTTCCCTCCCATCCCTTCTACAGGGAAAACCTCCGATCCGCGCATTTGTCGAGGGAAATTGCCGATCCGCACGGAAATTGCCGTCAACGCTTGCACAAATCGCGGACGTGGATTTTGACTTCGGCAAAATGCTCGTCGTGCAATTCCGCAACTTTCCGCATATTCACAAATTTTCTGGTCGGCCTGCCCCAAAAAAAATACTGCTAGCGTATAGCGTATTCACTTGTGTTTAGCATTTAGCGTGTATACGCCAGCGTATATCCACTAAACGCAAAGTGTCCCTAGCGTATTTGGCAACTTAGGTTAAGGCTGGTTGATTCGAACCTGGATTGTTTTGAACTAAACCGATTCTGGTTCGGTTTAAACCTTCCCAATCCGACCCATAATAGTTGAAGTTCGAACCGGGCAATCCTCTTTCTGGTTCGACTCAAGTAGGTTTGGTTTGGTAGATTGTTCATGCTTTCCGTTTCTTATCCTGGTCTGGTCCTGCAAATGCACAACACAAATGGACTCTGAATCAGTTTTCCCATGCATCCAACCCCCACACCACCAACAGCACTCTCAACACCAACATGTTGTCAGGATCTGTGCCCTCCTCGATCACAAAGCTCACTGCTCTTTCTTTCTTGTAACTTGGTTCCACTTCCATTTGAGTAATAGTCGACCCGTCCCAACCCGACTCGTCCCGACTCTGCCGGTCAGGACTCGGCCAGGGGTGGGTCGGGCTGAGGATTTCTTCGACCGACCAGCTTTATGGGGTCAGGCCGGCAAATACCCGAGGTCAGATCAGGTCAGGCTGACCCGCTGGCAAATTTTGACTCTCGGTCGGGTCAGGTTGACCTTGTCGGGTCGAGCCCAACAGAGGAGTGACCCAACCCGGCCAAACCCAGGGTCGGGTTGGACCGACCCGCCCTTACCATTTGTTCAAAAGTTTTGATTGATGTGCAAATTATATCAAATTAAAAAAAGATCCATAGTATATTGTTTTGCTCTTTGAAAAACCACTGCTGAATGGGTAACAAATGTGGTACTACTAATACTTGTTTGCCATGAGCGAGCCGAGCCAGGTGGGAAACAAGTTGGGTGACCTTTTTGTAAGATGGTGATTCTTTGGCGATAACTGTTTGCACTACCAAGTTCTAGTGCATTCAAGCATACTAAGGCTGCTACCTCCCTGCCAAGTGCGTTTCACTGGTAATTAGAGCCTGGTTAATCATCTCACACGCTGCCGCCATATTCTAGACCCTATGGCTGGGCCGTCTGATATGGCGCCAGAACTCTGGAACGAATTTGTGGCGAATATGCGCCGAGAGATTGAACGCGAGGTGCGTGACCGGATTCTCGGCGAACTCCAGGAACGTGAACTCCTTGGCACACAGGTGCCGGCGCCAGTACCTGGTGTGGTTTCTGCACGACCCAAAGCACCCGAACCTGAACCGTTCATCCCTGGAAAACGCCACTTGCCGGTTCGACGGTGGCTTTTCCAAGTGGAGGAATACCTCTCCCTTTGTCATGTCAACCGAACGGAGTGGGCTCGGCACTCCGGCATGATGCTGCGAAGTGCAGCTGCTACTTGGTGGCAGAGTTGCCATGCTACGATTTCAACTTGGGAAGAGTTCTCTGCATCGCTCTTAATCAACTTCAAACTGGTCAACACCATCGAGCGCGCACATGACAACCTTGCTGAATTACGCCAACATCGCTCGGTCGCTGAGTACATCAACTACTTCCGCGAGCTTGTGCTTGAGATCCCTGACATCCCTACTGCTGAACAGATGGACAAATTCAAGCGTGGGCTGAAGCCGAAAATCCGCACCGAGGTTGAACTCCGCGGCGCTACGATGTTGGATGAGATGATTCGTGTCGCCGAGCGTTTTGACACCATCAACTTTGCAGCGTACCAGCGATTCCAAGGGCGAACCGGGCAACACACCACTGCGTGGACCTACCAACCGCATCAACGGTCCTACCCCCATGGAGCTCGGTGTAATGAAATAGCGTGCACGCAACCAGTCCACGCTTACCCGTGCGGAAAAGTTGGGCACATCAAGTGGAACTGCCCGAATCGTCGCAGCCCAAACGAAGGACGGGGAAACGGACAGCGCTAGTAGCAGTGGGGCAGACCTCTGGCGCATCGCATGCCCCGCTTCTCCCGACCCCATTATGTTCATCGGCATCTCGAACTCTACACCACATCAAACGCTCTATTCCCCGCCATCATTCTATGCACAAAAATAAAGAATCGCTACGTTGACTTTCTACTCGATACCGGTGCTTCAGCAAATTTCCTCTCTCCGTGAATTGCTGCCGAACTTCCCGAAGATCCCAACAGCAACCCACAGGACGTGATCCTGGCAGATGGTACTCAGCGGCGCTACGGACCCACCCTTTTGCCCGTGCACTGCATGTTTCGCTGTGACGGTTACGTTCGAGCAACCGCAACTCGGCGGCTACGAAGGCATTCTCGGCCGGCCATGGCTGTACCTAGGGTTGAGCACGGGCCGGGCCGGGCCCGGCCCAGGTCGGGCCAGGCCGAGCCCATGAAAAACCCGGGCCAGGCCCGGCCCGACCCGGGCCGAATGAGCAAGACCCTGGCCCGGGCCCGCCCATTTTCTACTCGGGCCAGGGTGGCCCGACTCGGGTTGTGCAAGGCCCGACCCGGGCCGGTCCCGGCCCAGCCCGGGTGAACTTTCGCTATAGGTAAATGGTGTTTGGGGCCTGCTTTAGAGAGGCAAACAAGTCCAGGGACTGACCCGGGCCAGGTCGGGCCGACAGCCAAATTTCGAGGCCCGGCCCGGGGCATTTCTTCGCCGGCCCGACCCGGTGAGAGTACGACGGCTTATGCCAGCTATGCATGCCTGCCTTTACTTTATTATGCTACTTCTAGCTTAGGTTTATTTTATGCATGCATGAATTGCTTGATTTCCTAGGCTAGGTGCTTTCCTATATTTTATTATAGTTATAGCACCGAGCTAGGTTGCGTACACCGAATTCTGGGCTATTCGGTTGCCACCGAATTGCCCTCCACCGAATTCGGGAAGGGTCTGTTCGAGACGCTTCGCGACCCTCAGAACCTTCGCGTAACACCTGGTTACTACCCCTTGTGTCGAGCCTATATATAGCCTCGTGTTGTACCCAGGTGATCATTCAATTCAATTCAATTTAAACTCTCTTTTCTGAGCTCGATCCTAGATCCTCACACTTGGTAATCAGAGCCTGTTTACACGCGAAGTTTTTCGACCGCTAAAACCTAGCTTTTAAAACCGCGGGGGCGACGACGGGAAGCGCCGATTTCGGGTACGTAAACCAGTTCCGCGCTGTTTTCTAACGTCCCCCTCGAACCGGTTTTCGAATCCTCCTCAGGTTCATTGGCGAAAAAGTTGGAATTTCGACCGTCCGATCGATTCGAATCTCAACGGCCCTGAGAATTTCGCCCAAAAAAGTTGGAATTTGGAGCGTCGGATCGATTCTCTTCTCAACGGCCGGGATCAGACGCGAATTTCGATTAAGGGAGAATTTCCTGGCGTACGGATCTCATCTTTTTACAGTCGAGTTTGTTCGCAGTAAGTTGACCAGCGCCTAGAATGCAATTATTTCCGTCGCAAAACTTCCTGTAAATCGCGAAATGGAGGAAAATGGTGAAAATTCCGTACGAAAAATTACGGAGTTACGCACCGACGTGGACCAGATGCGAGCGGCACTCCAGCGAATAGAGGAGCTTCTCGCGAACCAGTCGGCAGCCGCCACGGCAGCAGCGAACGTAGCAGCGAATGCAGCAGCGACGGCAGCAGCAGCAGCGGCGACACCGACACTTCACCAAGCAGCAGCCACAGTGAATCTTGAGGCGGCACGTCCGAGGCTACCGGAGACGTTCAATCCGAATGCAAGAGACACCGACGTCCGTCGATTCATTGCTACACTCGAAATTTACTTCGAGGCCGTTGGCTGTACGACCCCGACACACGATGCAATGCGGATTCGGCTCGCAGCGACACTGTTGCGAGGCCCGGCGCTCGAATGGATTTACAACAGTAAGGAGATCCGAGGCGAGGGGTCATGGACGCAGTTTCGGGCAGCTTTAATTCAACGCTTCGAACCGATTAATTCGAGCTACATGGCGCGGCAGCAGATTCATCGGCACAAACAGTACGGCAGTGTAACACAGTACACACAGCAGATGGAGAGCCTCTTCAACCGAATTACCGACCTGACCGAAGGGGAAAAAATCCAAGCGTATACTGAGGGGCTAAAAATGGAAGTCCGCCGACAGGTGATTGCTGCGAACTACAACAACTACCGCGACATGGTGTGTGCAGCAGAGAGATTCGATGCGCTGACGCGAGGTCAACCCGAGACACGACGCCACGTGTCGAACAAATCATTCGACACGAAGCGATCGGCACCACCCACGACCGCCGACCCGATGGATATCGACAAGATCGACGCGAAGCAGCGGCCGAAAAAATATGAGAAGTGTGACTTTTGCGGCGCAGCGGGACATCGATTCTTGGCGTGTTGGAAAATGAAGAAGGCACGAGCAGAGCTGCAGGGCAACAACAGTGCGGCACCCCCGAAGTCAAACAACGTGGCGACTTCGGAGCGGGCGAAAAAAGGAGGACATGATGGCGCGAATTTAAAACGCCACGACCGGCCGGCACCAGGGGAAATCGCCGAGACAAATGGAGGCTCCGCGAAACAAGACTCTGCACCGACCGGGAAACTCCAGCCGAACACCTGCGAAAGTAAGAATTCGTTAAAGTTATCCTACAAAGATACTTTAACTAAGAATATTACTTCTCATAATTTTCAAGCCTTCAGGGGAGATTTAGCGGCTAAGAAAAAGCCCTTAAAGATTATTCAGGTACCTGAGAAGTTGGGCAAACCACTCCGGAGCGTTGAAAAGGGTCGTGCGTTCCAAGGAGTTAATACTCTCTCCCCGCAGCACAGTGTTAAGGCTCCCCATTGCCCACAGGAGAGGCCTACACAGCTGCAACGGCTTAAGGGAAGGTTCCAGGCCAAGACGAAGCTGAATCGGCCTCGGATAAATCCTTCTAACCCTACTCAGTTGGAAACTGATACGGAGTCAGCAGCTTCTGGGGATGATCTCTTCGACGTACCCTATGATCCAGTAAGCGAGACCATCTACGGCTACTCGGAGCGGCAACAACCACTACTCCTCGAGGTTCTCTGCAAAGGGCGACGCCTCCAGGCACTGGTGGACAGCGGTGCATCTCACTCGGTGTGCGACCGCGAGACATTGGAGAAAATCGGAGAGAAGGCGGAGGAGACACAATTCTCTGCAACAATGGTGGACGGTACGAAGCTTCCCATCCACGGCGAAGCATCACTGCAGCTGCACATAGGGGCGCGAAGGTTGAAGCCGACGTTACCGATCACCAATATCAAGGGACTAGATTTCATCTTGGGGCGAGATTTCCTGAAGCGGTTCAACCCCGAGATCGATTGGGTCAACAGCAAAGTGTGCATCTACAACAACGGGAAGCGGATAGCACTGCGAAGCTGGACGGATACAGGGGACATTCCTGAAACGACACTGGCACGGTTCGAACGGACGGTGAACGAGAGTAACACGGGTTACCTAGCACTGGTCATGGCAGCAGCAGAGGAGGAGAAGCCGAGTTCGGAGCTACCTGCAGCAGTGAAGGAGGTCTTGGAACAATACAAAGATATAATGACCGACGACCTACCCGCAGGCGTACCTCCAGCACGCACCCATGAGCACGAGATCGTGGAGGAACCAGGTGCGAAACCCGTCTCACGTGCACCATACCGACTGAGTCCGACCGAGCTGACAGACATGAAAAAACAGATCGAATATTTACTGGACAGACAACTGATCCGCCCATCCACATCTCCCTACGGTGCACCAGTTCTCTTCACTTTAAAACCAGACGGCAGTCTACGGATGTGCATCGACTACCGCGCACTGAACAAACAGACAGTTAAAAATAAATACCCCATACCGCGCATAGACGACCTACTGGACCAACTGCGTGGTGCAACAGTTTTCTCGAAGCTGGACCTACGGTCGGGTTACTGGCAGATCAAGATGGCGGACAACTCGATCCACAAGACGGCGTTCCGTACAAGATACGGCTCCTACGAATACTTGGTGATGCCGTTCGGACTCTGCAACGCACCCGCGACGTTCCAGGCAGAGATGAACCACATCCTACGACCCCTGCTGGACGAATGCGTAGTAGTGTACCTGGACGATATCCTCATCTACTCCAAAAACATGAAGGAGCACATGGAGCATCTGCGGAAGGTGTTCGAGATCCTGCGGAAAAACAAGTTCTACGTGAAGCTGTCGAAGAGCGACTTCGCCCTGAAGAAGGTGCAGTTTCTCGGGCACATGGTGAGTGCCGAGGGCGTACACGTGGACCCGCGGAAGATCGAAGCCGTTAAAAAGTGGAAAGTTCCGGAGAACGTGAAGGAGTTACAGCAGTTCCTCGGCTTCGCCAACTACTACAACAGGTTCGTGCCGCAGTACGCTAAGATAGCAGCGCCACTGACCGACCTACTGAAAAAGGATACGCCCTTCAAATGGGATACTCCTCATCAGCAAGCCATGGAGCAGCTACAGACAGCACTGACCACAGCGCCAGTACTCATCCTACCGGATCCAGACAAGGACTACGTAGTTGAAGCGGACGCTAGTGACCAGGCAGTCGGAGCAATACTGATGCAGGATCACGGGAACGGTTTACAGCCTATCGCCTACCTCAGTAAGAAGTTACACGGAGCAGAACTGAACTACCCCATTCACGACAAGGAAGCCTTAGCTATAGTCGTAGCCTTCAAGACGTTGAGGTGTTACCTAGAGGGAGCCAAGACCACAGTATACACTGACCACTGCAGTCTTAAGTACCTGAAGTCGCAGCCGACGCTCTCACGACAACAGGTGCGGTGGGTGGATTTCTTGGAAACTCACTTCCACTACGACATCGTCTACAAACCCGGGCTCCACAACAAAGCTGACGCGTTGAGCCGCCCCGGTCATGTAGCAGGCATCCAGCTCGACGGGATGAACCCTCTGCTCAAGGGTCTATTCCAACATGGGTACTCCGTGGACGGCGAGATCGCAACGGCAGAGAAACAGAAGCTGTTACAGTGGGAGAAAGACTTAGCGGTAAGGAAGGGTTCATGAAAGATTTGGGTACCGAATTACGCCCCGCTACGACAGATCCTATTAGAGTAATTTCATGACGTACCTTACGCGGGACATTTCGGGAGCAACAAGACGTTAGCGGGAATAGCGAAGTATTACTACTGGCCCCGGATGGCAGCAGACGTGCAGCAGTTCGTCACCTCATGCGACACGTGCCAGCGGATGAAGAGTAGCAAGCAGAAAAAAGCAGGGTTACTTCAGCCTCTACCCGTACCGGAGCAGCCATGGCAGGTCGTTAGCCTCGACTTCATCACAGGACTTCCCTCGACCTCACGGGGACACGATTCCATCCTCGTAGTAATCGATAAGTTCTCCAAAATGGGTCATTTCATACCGACCAACGCCACAGCTACAGCTGAAGCAACTGCTCGCCTCTTCTTCGACCGCATCATCACCATCCACGGCATCCCCGCTACACTTATCTCAGACAGAGACCCAAAATTCACGAGTAAGTTCTGGAAGGAGCTTATGGGACTGCTGGGGACCAAGCTTGCCATGTCTTCAGCATACCATCCCCAGACTGACGGACAGACAGAGCGACTCAATCAGGTGGTTGAACAGTTACTGCGTACAGCTTGCAAAGACGACATCAGCCACTGGGACACACAGTTACCGACCTTAGAGTTCGCTTACAACAACGCCTCACATGCGGCCACAGGGAAAACCCCTTTCTTCCTGTGTTACGGACGGGAACCACTCACACCACAGCAGCCGACCACACCGGCACACGTCCAAGCCGCACACGACTTCATCACCACCATGCAACAGCTATGGGAGCTGACTCAGCGACGTCTCACCACGATGCAGACCTCCCAGAAGCAGTATGCCGATCGCCAGCGACGAGATCACTCAGTAGCAGTCGGAGATCAGGTGCTTCTTGACACGCGCAACTTGAACCTGTCTCACCTACCATCCAAACTCCGGCCTCGCTTCTGTGGTCCTTTTCTCGTGGAGGCACAGGTGACACCAGTTACATTCCGCTTGCGCTTACCAGATACGTGGAAGCTTCACAATGCTTTCCATGTTCAGCTACTGAAACCCTACAAGGACCCCAACCAACAGTTCCAGGGACGGCAGCTACCGCCACCTCCACCTGTTCTTGTACAGGATGAACCAGAGTACGAGATCGAGCGCGTTCTCACTCATCGGCGCCGCGGCGGCCAGTCCCTCGAGTTCCTGATACGCTGGAAGGGATACGACCCCACTGAGGACAGTTGGGTTGCAGAAGCTGATCTGGGCAACGCACGCCGTGCTCTCAGGGACTATCTTGTCAAGCAGGGTGTTTCTCACGCCACCCAGCTTTGAGGGGGGGACGTGTGAGAGTACGACGGCTTATGCCAGCTATGCATGCCTGCCTTTACTTTATTATGCTACTTCTAGCTTAGGTTTATTTTATGCATGCATGAATTGCTTGATTTCCTAGGCTAGGTGCTTTCCTATATTTTATTATAGTTATAGCACCGAGCTAGGTTGCGTACACCGAATTCTGAGCTATTCGGTTGCCACCGAATTGCCTTCTACCGAATTCGGGAAGGGTCTGTTCGGGACGCTTCGCGACCCCCAGAACCTTCGCGTAACACCTGGTTACTACCCCTTGTGTCGAGCCTATATATAGCCTCGTGTTGTACCCAGGTGATCATTCAATTCAATTCAATTCAAACTCTCTTTTCTGAGCTCGATCCTAGATCCTCACGGACCCGGGTCGGGCCCAGCTTGTTTTTCTGCTCAACGTACCAGCTTGGACTGCAAATTTATTGGCGTAACGCAACTTTCACCGTCGGCAACTACGACCTCCCATCCCGCTCCTACCGCCGACTATTTGTCATCCCCAACTAGTTCAGCTTCATCAACCCATCCACCCGAACCTGCCCCATCTCCATCTTCCCATATCCCCCCTCCCTCCTCGCATAGCCCCCGCGCCGCAGCCAACATCACCCGGCTCCCCCATCTTGATCAACACACCTCCTCCTTCTCCACCCCACCCAACCCAGCAGCCACGCCGTCCCATCGTCGGCCCCGTCTCTGAAGTTGTCAATCCACCAGCCCCCACCCCTCCTTCATCACCTCCTCCTCATCATCTCCTAGTCATCTTCACGGCTCCCGAATCTGAAGCATCAGCTACTTCTCCGCCATCACCCATACAGGATCTCCTCCAAGGTAGGGATGAGCACCGGACGAACATCGAACATGTTCGCCCGAACTGTGACGAACACACTCAGTGGGCGAACCGAACATGTTCGGTTCGCCTGAACACTTTTTACTGAAATCTTAGGTTCGAGGTTCGGCCACTGTGGGCGAACCTATTAAAGGGGGCCGAACATCAGAGATGTTCGGGCGAACCCGAACAGGTTCGGGTTCGCCCACTGCAAGGGGGGGGGGGGGGTGGGAACTTGCTTATGTTCCCAGTGGGAAATTGGATGCTTACTTTACCATTCACCCTGTCGTTTGTTAACTTAAACCGAAACCTGCTGGTACAACCCTAAATAACGGCCTTAACGCCCCATTGGTGCCTAACTAACGGTTGATGTGCGCGATTTAGTATAGGAAGGTACGTTGGGTGGCGCTTAGGCTAGATTAACCCTAGGAAAAGTAGATCGAGCTGAGAAACAGCTCGATCTGCTCTTCCCGTCCAACCAGCGCGACATTGTCGAGCTGGAATTTTCCCGAACATCAAAATGTTTGGGAAAACAGGTTTGATGCCCGAACATGTTCGATGTTCGGGCACTAGACACGAGCGCGCCACGAACGTGCGAACATGTTCGAGCCAAACCCGAACATGTTCGGGCGAACATTTTAAAAAAAAAATTGGAGGAAAGTTCGGTTCGCCCCCGAACATGTTCGGGCAAACCGAACGCACGTTCGCCATTTTGCTCATCCCTACTCCAAAGTTATACGGACGTGTTTCCCACCGATCTACTCGCCGAACTTCCACCCGAGCGTGCTATTGACCATAGCGTCCGCCTCATTCCAGGTTCTACACCGCCCGTGCGCCCAACCTATCGCATGAGCACCGCTGAACTTTTGGAGCTACGACGACAACTCGATGACCTTCTTGAGAAGGGTTTTACATGCCCAAGCACCTCACCGTATGCTGCCCCAGTGCTTTTCACCCGCAAGAAGGAAGGTGACCTGCGTCTTTGCATTGACTACTGCGCCCTCAACGCCATCACGATCAAGAATAAATACCCACTGCCGCGTGTCGAGGAGTTGTTCGACATGCTTGGGGAAGCGACGGTTTTCAGCAAGCTCGACCTATGATCCGATTACCACCAGATCCGCCTCGCCGAAGACGACATCAACAAGACGGCGTTTCGAACCCGCTACGGCCACTTCGAGTTCCGAGTACTTCCGGCTTCACCAACGCTCCAGCCACGTTCATGGGCCTCATGAACGACATCTTCCGGCCCTTCCTCGACCGCTTTGTCATCGTGTTCCTCGATGACATCCTCATCTTCAGCAAGTCACTCGAGGAACACGCTCAGCACCTACGCATCGTCCTCGACACGCTCCGCCAACACCGCCTCTACGCCAAGTTGTCCAAGTGTACCTTCGCTCGTTCAAGCATCGGCTTTCTCGGCCATGTCATCAGGTCCAAAGGCATTGCTATGGACCCTGCAAAGGTCCAGTGCCTTGCTGACTGGCCATCACCACGCACGGTAGCGGAGCTGCAAAGTTTCATCGGCCATGCCAAGTATTACCAAAAATTTATCTTCAACTTCTCTCACATATGCGCCCATTTGACCAATCTCTTCTGTCAAGGAGCTGCTTTTCAGTGGGGACTACCGCAGCAGACCGCTTTCACCACGATCAAAACGGCACTCACATTTGCACCGGTTCTCAACGTCGCTGACCCATCACGGCCGTGAAATTTCTGGTGACGCCGACTTGGTGGTTGCCTGGTCGGCCAAGTTACCAGGGCGATGAGATTCTGCGGAGCGCGCGACCGTCGCCCAGGAGGTTTTGGCGAAGCCGACCTCGGAGTGGTATCCCGAGGTCGACGTGGCTCATCAGGCGTCGCCAACGACACGTAGCCGACCTGGCACCTGCGCCGTGCACATGGCGGTGCACGTCGCACCAACCGTCAGCAAGCATCTGCGAAGCTGGCGCGAGCGTGTGCGCTGCTGTCATCTGCGGATGCAACGCTGGACGGCCGCCTTGCTGCAGTGTTGGCAAGCCGCCGACTTGCAACGTTGGCAAGTCGCCACCTTGGAGCGCGGTCGACATTGCAGCACGGTCAACACAGCAGGTCGCCGACTATGCTGTGCTGGAGATCGACCTGCCTATGTGCTAGGCAATCTTACATCAGATGTAATCAGTTGTTTTTCCTTGTTCAACAATTGTTCTCAACTTTTGCTAGTGAAACTCTTGCGGTTTTGCCCTGTAAATGTACAAGTGCTAGAGAACACTATGGAACGCTAGGATCACTCACACAACCGTGCCTTCCCACGTAGTCTAGCTCCCACCGTTGTTGTGTTGATCTACTCAGACACAACTATAATGTATACAGATACATATATATCATAAAGAAATAGTGAACTAAACATCCAGCAAACTCAAGGGACAATAAATACCCAACAAAAGACCCGAAGGACGTTAGGCAGAACCTTTGACTGGTGCAACCATATCTCAGGCCGGTTCGTTTCGAACAGGTTTAGTTTGGCACTGAACAAGTTCAATAAACAAGTAAAATTACCGAATCGGTTTGATTCGGTTGTTTGCTCATGTCCAAGCCCTCTGCTATTCACTTAGTTTGAGTAATAATTTGCTATTCCTCTGCTGCTTCCCTTTTTAATCTCAGGAATCTTTCGACGAACCAGCTTTCAGGCAGCATTCCTTCTAGTGTTAGTGCTCTTGCTCAACTCACTCTTTTGTAAGTCGCGCATATCATGCAATACAAGCCCACATGTATGCTCACTATATCAGCCAGGTAGGTTGGTATTGAGGAATCTACTTCAAGTGCTAGGTAGCTGACTTTGATATTCCACGTTTCCTGCATTTGCCTCTCACTCCCATCATATCTTTACATTCACGTCAGGTATCTTGATGAAAATCAGCTCACTGGCTCCATCCCTGCAGAGATTGGCTCAATGACGAAGTTGGTGTTTCTGTAAGAACTGTTTACATCCTATCCTATCCACAACCTTTATCTACTCTTAAGCAACCAGTATCCCCTTCCAGGTGGCCCATTTTCACACGTATGCATTGTATGCATGTTTCTGTTGTGTTGGGTATGCTACCAGAGCAGTGTTCTGCACATGTACCCTCACTGTAAATTGTGTGTGAACGTGCACTGCACAGGTCCTTTCGGAGAAATTGTTTGAGTGGAAGGATTACTGACTCTCTTGGGGAACTCTCCCAGCTACTCTACCTGTAAGCTCACGTGCAGCTGCAATTCTGGAAAGAATGGTACTGCTTCCTTTGTTTTACTTGAGGCTAGCGTTCCTCTAACACCACATACTTCTTGTGTCAATTCCCAATCCATGACAATTATGGAAAATCATATCTTTACGATTTTTTCTTCTCCACCCAAAGTTTCTAGCGTGCGAGCACCTGTGTGGCTTCTTGGCGCTTTGTACTATGGCATTTGCGTGAACCTCGTGTGTTTTATTTTCCGCTCGATACCCTTCCACCAGGCAGCAACTGAATCTAGCAAGTGAATCCAATGAGTGAAATTGCAAGTGAATTCAGCAATTATTTTTTGCAAGTGAATTGCGCAAGTGAACCTAGTCAGTGAATCTAGCAAGTAAATCCAGCAAGAAGATCAGGTCAGTGAATTCAGTAAGTAGATCTAGCAAGTGAATTTAGCATGTCTGCTCAGCCCTTCAATCACCTACTTAACCTGGTCTCCATCCCTCCTCATCCTCTCCTTCTATCATTCCGGTAGCTCCTCTAACATACTTTTGTCCAACTGCCATGGCCATCAGGTCTCTCGCCTTCAACGAGCTGTATGGGAGCATACCAAGCGCTCTCACCCAGCTCACATACCTGTACGACCCCCACACTACCTCACTCGTTTCTCTGACATACACAACAAGTCACGCCCTTGCGCTTTCAAAATTTTCCACTTCGACATCCTTTGGATTGTTTCCTCATCGTCTCCCTTCAGTTCCTACTTTCCCCATTTTACCTCACCGTTTCCTGATATGCCTCTTCGTCTTCATCTTCTGCCGCCTCCTCGTCCACCTCCTCTTCCCCCTCTGCTCCGCTTCTTATCTACTCCTCGTTCTCCTTTTCTGCCTTCCTTTATCCGTTCTCTTCTCCTCCCTCATCCATACACCCATGCCACTCAACAACCCCTCACACCTTCGCCCCTTGAACTCCGCTTTTCCAAGTCTGGGCGCATTGAGATTATCCACATGCGTCCTTCTCCTGGCACCTGACCCTCCCGCCTGCAGCGACCTCTCCCACAACTACCTCACAGGACCTGCAGTAATGCCTTTTGCTGCACGCAGCCTGGATCTCTCTAACAACTTCCTCTCGGGCCCTCTGCCCGATGGGGCATGCCAGCCATTCTCTTTCGATGCCAACTGCTTCATGCTGCCGCTTGGCTGTGTCTTGGTGCCGCAACGGCAGGAGGCAGCATGCAATGCATTCTGTGGCGTCTCCTCTGCTGCTGGTGCTGCTGCTGCTGCTTTGTGTGGAGGGCATGGGGTGTGTTATCCAGAGGGGGCAAGCTTGGAACCCACATGTCTGTGCAACCCGGGATTCGTGCAATTTAGAAAGATCAGCTGCGTTGCTAAAGGTATGTGACAGTGACACACTACTTGAAATTGATGAAACATAACCACAGACTGATTCACAGAATGTTGGGACATCCAACTCACATGAACTCCAGTAACTTGTAGATTGGAGATCTGTTCGACCTCCGTAGGTCTCACCCTCTCTTGCCTCCTTATTTTTAGAGATAGTCTTCCATCTCATGTTTTTTACTTGCACTTTTTATGTCCTTGTTTAGCATAACTGTTTTTTTTTTGTGTGTGTTGCACCAATATCCTAACCCAATCCAAATGTGATGTGATCAAATGAAATTGCCAACCCCACCGATTGAAGATTTGAGCCAATCCAATCCGGGGATTGCCCTCGATTTTCTGCCCATCTGTTCCAACCCATTTTCTAATGTACTTAAGAATCTTGAGCTCCTTTATTTAACTACTCGG